CAAAAGATAATTACCACTACCAAGATCAAAGTAATACAAATCTTCAGGCATGGGGTTACTTTTATGCTGTTTGTTCATTATATTGATTGCACATCAAATATTTTTTTATATATATTTTTGTTTGCAAAAAGTGTTTGTATAGAGTTGAGGAGATATTAAGTGTCATCTTTCCTACAAACAGCGACATTAAGCGGTGCATTTTATCATTTTTGTCGCCGTCCTGCAATTCTCTAGAGCAGTGGTTCTCAAACTTTTTTCACTCATGTACCCCGTTTGAAAAAAAATTCAGCTAAGTACCCCCTGATCAGCGCAAAAACTATTTGTTAAGGAAAAAAAGCCTATATAAAGAGGTACAGTGCAGCGCTGCACCATCAGTGTCTGATTTATTAAAACATCAACCTTCTAACTGAGAAGCACTTAAATGCTACACTTCAAATGTTTACAATCCATCACTAAATTCATGGCAAACCAATTTTAACATCATGCAATAACACTAAGACGACATTAGTTGCATTGAACTGATCTTTTTAATAAATTGTACTTACAATTTAGTGAGAAACATGGGCTTGAGCTTCACTGAGGATCTTTGTCATTCTGACAGGGAGGCACCTGCAGTTACACTTCGCGTTTTGAAATATGTGTAACTCTGTTCATATAAAACCCACACTGCTAAAACTTTGTTACTTTTCCTAAAATTGGTATATTTATTTATTTATTTTGGGGCGTGGGGAATGAAGAGAACAAATATAGTAGCATTTTATGAGCATGGGATTTTGACCCCTCATATAAACATATGCATAATGCTGCGCTATACTTTGCGGCCACACGCCGTTGCCAAGCAACGCTTATTGTTTAGGTGTCCTTTGATAAGCAGGCAGTTTTATAATTAACTAGAACTAGCTAGATCTGATAGATTTGGACTTAGACGCGAGTGAAGTCTAACCGGACGCGAGAGAGAGATCAGAGATCCGATCAGCTGCTGCTGACTGAGAACACGCAGCTCTGCATGATCACAGCTCCGCCGCTGTGACGGACCGTTGAGCCGAGCAAAAATACACTTAGAGTTAGACCTAACACACTTAGCTAGTTTATCTACTCTGGAACTAGCTAAACTAGTTATAAATATATTTATTATTTACAGTCGGGTCACTTATTACAGGTTCAGCGAGCTGCACGAGACTGACGGGCTGTCAGGAGAGGGAGAGGAAAAGAGAGCACCCCGTTTATTTTTCCCATTTTATTATCCAGAATTACTGTAAACCTTTGAATAAAGTAGTTAAACTACTATTAGTAGTTTGTGTAAATGCATGTGTGTATGAATTATACGTTTTTGTATGATTTTAGTAGAATAAATTAAATTAAATTAAAAAATGTTTTTTTTTTCATTAACATAAAATAAATCTCACGTACCCCCTGCAGTACTCCAACGTACCCCTAGGGGTCCGCGTACCCCCATTTGAGAACCACTGCTCTAGAGCGTCCACACAGCAGCGTGCGTTGACGCTTGGAGGTGGGCGTATCTGAAGCTTGGGGATTTTTTGCGAGCAACGCGACCAACAACCAATCACATTAATCTCCCGCCCCCGACATACAAAGCAATAGCAATGTTAAAACGAAGTAAACTGGATATAAAATCCCCAAACAAGCGAAAACCTACCAGTTTCACCCACTGTCTCTGCCACCTCCCTCCATGCCTTGCTCCTCCGGTTTGTATCCCGGTAGATCAACAGAGACTGATCATACAGCACCGGGTGATTCACTACCGCTATAATGAATTTTCCCTCCATTTTTTTGAATATGAGGAAATGACCTGCGTAGTCTCTCCCAGCATACACGCGGTTTGATTGGCTAGCACTTGTACTGGCAGATTTGCATAAACGGATATCATTGGCTGACGCCTCCGTCGAGGCGTCAAAAGTTGAACATTGCTCAACTTTTGACGCCAGCTACGCCAGCTACAGCAGCAACGCTCCACGTCGCTTCCCAAAATGCAGTTCGGCTAAAAGTGACGTCACCCCATTCAAAGTGAATGGGCAGAAGCGTTGGAAGCTTCAACGCACGCCGCTGTGTGGACGGGCCTTTTATTTGCCACAGTAATGTTAACGTCGCAGACAGGAATATAGTATCTAAATCTGAAGTGTCCTATAGAAAGAACATGCATGCATTCACCATATATTGTCCCTAGTTGCAATTTTCAGACAGAATTACATAAGGCAATGCAAGGCAAGTTTATTTATATAGCACCTTTCAACACAAGGCAATTCAAAGTGCTTTACAAAAAACGAAAGATATTAAGAAAATGGCATTTAAAAGATAATAACATAAACATTAAAAGAAAAAATACATGGATAAAAGTTACAGTGCAGTTTAAGATGAATAGTTCAATTAAAAGCAGCGGCAAAAAGAAAAGTCTTTAGTCTGGATTTAAAAGTAGTCAAAGTTTTAGCGGACCTGCAGTTTTCTGGGAGTTTGTTCCAGATATTTGGAGCATAACGGTACGTCCACACAGCAGCTTTTCAAAAATCTTGAAAATCTTGGAGCTGGGCGTGTCTGAAAGCTTGGGGATTTCGCGACCAACAACCAATCACATGAATCTCCCGCCCCCGACATACAAAGCAAAAAACCCCGGTTCTTCTCCACTATTTCTTTTTTTTAACATTTTTAACATTTATGAGATTAATGTTTATGGTGCTATTGTATGCTACATTCCATGCTGGCTAATGATACTGTCTATGCTTGCTAGCAACGAAGTAAACTAGCAACGAAGTAAACTGGATATAAAATCCGCAAACAAGCGAAAACCTACCAGTTTCACCCACTGTCTCTGCCACCTCCCTCCATGCCTGGTTCCTCCGGTTTGTATCCCGGTAAGTAAATAGGGACTGGTCATAAAGAACCGGGTGATTTGCTACCGCAAAAACTAACTTCTCCTCCATTTTTGTGGAATATAGAAATGAACTGCGGTCTGGTTCTCCCAGCTTGCACGCGGTTTGATTGGCTAGCGCTTGAACTGTCAGATTTGCATAAACGGATCTGATTGGCTGTCGCTTCCAGCTCAGCCTCAAAAGTTGAACATTGTTCAACTTTGGAATCCTGAACATCCTGGAAATCCTGGAAATCTTCGCCTCGCCCCCCCACAATGCAGTTCGGCGACAAGCGAGGGAAAGTGACGTCATCCCCATTCAAAGTCAATGGGCGGAGACGCGCTGGAAGCGGTGGACAAATCGCCAAAAGCTGCTGTGTGTACGGGCCGTAATAACTAAATGCTGCTTTTCCATGTTTAGTTCTGACTCTAGGGACAGAAAGCTGACCAGTCCCTGAAGACCTGAGAGATCTGGATGGTTCATCATTTAGCAGGAGGAAATGTATTTTGGGCCTAAACCAAAGCTAAACCAAAGCTTTATAATAAGGTTACATAAGGTCAACAAATAGTTGCAAAAGGGGCACTTATTGGGGGGTGTGTGTGTGTGTGTGTGTGGTGTGTGTGTGTGTGTGTGTGTGTGTGTGTGTGTGTGTGTGTGTGTGTGTGTGTGTGTGTGTGTGTGTGTGTGTGTGTGTGTGTGTGTGTGTGTGTGTGTGTGCGTGCGTGCGTGCGTGTGTGTTAAAACTAAGACTTTATAATCTCTATAAACAAGATGCTGGTATTAATTGGGATCAGGCTTCCAATTTTAGTCTGAGTAATATTGCCCTGTCAAGTTTGAAAAGGTTCTGGTTAATTGCAGGTAAACAGTCTGTGTGAAGAACACAAGAGACGGAACGCATTAGACCAAATGCAATCTCTGAACCTATTGGCTATCAACCTATCAACTCTTTAGCTTGAAACTAACTTGAAATGAGCTTTTAACAAGGCTACTTGTGAAACAATCTGGTTTTCGACATCTCTCAGTCTCAACTCAGACTCCATTCTAGAGTCTCATATATGGCTTATCAGTAAACAATTGGTGACGCACAGAACAATAAGTCTTGTTGAAATGTCACTGTGTGGCCATGGTGTCGAACTGGCTTCAGAGCCCGGCACTCGACAAAACTACACCTGGCTAGTTGTAGTTTTATAAAAATGTAAATAAAAGTCAAAGTTGGCTTGGAACATGTGGAACATGTTTTCAGGTAGGCTAGGAGGCCACTCAGTCCTCTGATTGTTACATTCATGTTAAACCCATGGAAACATTTGTTCAACTCTGTTTAATTATCTTGCAATCTAGATTGTTTGTTGAAGTACTCATTGATATTTTTGACTTTTATAATAACCTTTCCCCACCTTAGTCTTTTCCAGGGCTCCATAGAAAGCAGAAGGGTAACTATTAAAGTCACTTACAATGGTTGCATTCAATTTAGGTTTGCCAGGCCCTTGTCATGTCACCGCTGAGTAATTGGCAGGCCTTATGGGCACCTGAATGTACTGTAACAGAGCCACAGTAAACTTTTATTTTACTTACACTTCTGCTACTGTCCCAGGTAAGACATTTCTATTCACAGTGTAGCGCCACCTTTTAACAACCTGAATGAGGTCTAATCTGGCAACACTGTGACGTGTATTACTTTTACTATAATGTATTTTACAGAGGGGCAACATTTCAACATTGCTTCTACAGTAGTCTGTCAGTAGTGACAGACATTTGTGATAGCAACAGTAGTCCAATAGACAAGGTCAGGTAATTTACTAATAAAATCTCCCTATATCAAATATAGGCATACAATCCCTTCCTTGTCTTGTGATAATATAATACATAGGAAACATGGAATGCATTCAGAGAATGGACTGGAACACATCTTAATAGTGATGACATTTTAAAGTCCTGTGTCTTGAATTGTGGTGTGTTTCATATTGAAGTCAACCTGCTAGTGCATCCAGACTGGAGACGAGGCTACATCAGAAGGCGAGGGGGGGGGGGGGATAAACAGGTTCAAACGACCTCACCCCCTCCATGCACCACCACGGTGCACAGAAAGGATTCAATGGGTTTGTAGTGTAGTGACAGGAAAAAAAAGCAAGCATTTACCTTTCTTTTGCAGGCGACAGAGCCTTCACACACACACACGGGCTGCCTCCTGTTGAAAGCAGGGAGGGAGGTCGATGCATCGTAAAGGACCAAATCTCCCGACGCGTCCATTTTTATTGTGTCCACTTACTCCTGGTAATAAAACGTGCAAATTAGAGCATGCAAAACACTGAATCTATACCGTGCATCTCCTCACTGGACCAGTCAAACGTGGAGAAATAACGAAGTGTAAGTCGACAAAACGAGCACATCCACGGCGTGTGGCGGAACGGGGGGACTTTGTAAAGATGTGTGAATGCATTAGAATGCAAGAAATGGTGTGATGGCGAGAGACAGATCTGCATATGGAAATTAGGGTTAGCGTGGATAAAATCCTACTTAGACCACTGTAATAATTTTAGTAGTACCCTTGCAGGGTGATAACAAGTGACTAATAATACTAACATGTCTAAAAAAAAAGTAATGTCATGGGGCAGGTGCTGTGGTCAAACATAAAAGCACTTTCATTAACATCTATTACATGTGCTAAAGGCTATCACGTTTCTTTAATAACAACCATATAGACATTTTAGACTGAGCAGTGTTTTCGCGGGTTTCTGTTATGGCCTATATATTTGTGTGTAAATGAAACGTACACCTGTAACTATTTTTGTAAACAAAGACTAAACAAAAACGTTTTAAACTAATGTAATAACATTCTAAGGAGAGGGAAAATAGTTCGCAGTGAAGACGTTGACTTTCCTCTTTCACAAAACTTAAGAAATAAAGACGTTAAAACAAGCATAAGTCATGTCAAACAAGTACAGAGCATGAACACACTCTACCTGCAGCAACAAATGCGAAGAAGGAAGCGCGTGGCAGTGAGCCCTCTTGTTGTCTGTCGATCAACTCGACAGGGTCACGCCCACTTTGAAACTTCAGACCAATCAACGGGCGCAGGGTGAGTGAGCGCATGCGTGAAGCGGAAGCGCGGGAGACTGAAAACCCAAACAACGGAGCCCTGACAGCAATGTGAACTGTGTGTTGCTTTACATTTACGGAATATAACATTTCATAAGAAGCCGGATTCAAGGTTGTAAATGTTTTACAAGATGTGTTTCTCTCGGAGCGCTCCTGTGTTTAGTTGCCCTATTAGGAATGCTGATTTGTAGGTTTACTAACGCTAACTCTGCATTCATAAGCAGATACTAACCTTACTAAAAACGTTAAATCAGGATGTCGGATTATTCACTGGCAAACGCATACACCTTGTAGAGAGATAGATCATTTTATATTACAACAACTGCTGTCCTGTGGGATGCATTGTGAAGTAAGGTTAGCTTGCTATGTTGTTTAGCATGTCATCTATAGTTTTGAAGCAAGGCAACAAAAACAATTGCCAGATTGTTAATATAAGAAGAAAACGTCATATTTAAACAGCTGAATAATGTCAGCTCCTGTTTGATTTAACATAGTTTTCTGACCTGTTAGGTATTTTTGTGTGATTTGTTGTAATGTCCTGCGTAAAATAGCTGTCTTCTACTTGCATTTAACATATTGTATGCACATGTTTACTATGCATCTTCTTCATAGAGTATGTGCATGCCAGCTGCTTTTTTTCTGTAACTGATGCAACACATTACCTAGGATTTGGGGAACAATCTTGTAATTCATATGTTTGTCATTAAAGGTGATACTGATTCTACAGTGGCAGGATGGCAGACGACTTCAGCCAATCCCTCACCCCTCCAGTTTCTCCTTTCCCCCCTGACAGCTTCTGTGATATGACTCCAGCTCGTCCTCCATGCTTCTGCTGCTCTGAAACAAAGGAGGACCCCACTGGAGCACTCTCCCCCCATGGCTATGCTGTCGGAGGCTCTCTGAAACGGTAGAGTCACTGTCTTTCGTAAAACATGTTTTTCCCACTACTGTTATCCCAATGTCCCAATGAAAGCTGTCCTCAGCAACTCTCTGGATTATCCTGAGTAACTAGAGAAATGCTCTAATAACACACACTTCTGTTGATTTTCTTTCAAAGGTCAGATCTTGATGCTGCGAGAACAAAAAATGAAATGCCACTTTTCCCCATTTAACGAGTGGCAGAAGAAGTCCTAGAAAAAAGTAAACGAAGTCGTAACAGATGTGACTGTTTCCTCTCCGCAGGCTGCTGCTGCGCCTCGATCCGGCCCCCGCAGAGTATGAAACGGACACAGTGGAGATCTTTGGTTTCCCCTGGGTCACAGAGACAGCATTGGTGGAATCCACAAAGCTACTCTTTGGTTTGTTCAGGTAAGCCAAGATATAGAAAAGATCTTCGTTCATTTCACTTAAAAATTTCACCCAGTTTACATTTTTTATTTTTGTTGCTACAGACAGCCTATGCAAAGGTCATTTGAAACTCTGTCCACCATTCACATATATGGTCTTATCGGCTCTTCGTTATATTTCAGGCAGAAAGTCTACAGGCTGGAGTCCTTGGTGCAGTCCAGCTCACATGACTTTGGTAAGTTTGTGCAATATGTGTTTTAGGGCTGCACGATTTTGAAAAAATAACTAATTGTGTGTGGACATGATTTGCAACACTAGATAGAGGTAGTCAACATTTCACATTTATCCGAAAAATACTGCACTTGCTACAATTTGTACAGTTTACTTGTCCATATAGCAATTTCAATCAAAGGTAAATGAATTGTGCAGCAATATTGTAGTCCAGGCAGAGCTTTAATTTGTATATCTTATGATAGAATTGTTTCCACACAGTAGGCCTGTATTTACATGTTTTTAAGATGCATATATTGTTTGTACATCGGCAAACACATAATGTATGTAGAGTAAACAGGATTTGCATATGTTTTCGTTTTAAAATGTAGCTGGAGTTTAGCATCCTTTTACACTTGGAGAATATCAAATTGCTCCCTTAGGCGCCTCAAATTATAAACTTTAAATAATGTTGTTGAATTCTGTTTGAACTTAAGACCTTTCAAATTGGCGGGCAGTCGGTGTAACCAGTGAGCTACATATCAGCCAGGAAAATTACTTTGCTCAAGGCCAAAGACCAAATCAATGCAACATACAATACATGCATATCAGGTGATTAGTTTAATTAACTGAGGAAGCAGCCGCAAAAGCAATGAATAATAAAGATATTGTCTGTTTTTCTGAAGTTAGCACACTAATTAATCAGCTATCTGTTCCAACAAATGAGTTTGCAATAATGAGCTCTACTTCCAGTGTTTGAGTCGTGTGTGTTTCTGATAAGGTGGTGCTTGTTTTGCATAAGTTTAAGGAACAACATCCGTCATGTGTTTAGGTCAAGCAGGCAACCTCCACTATGAAGCCGAGGACCTGAGACAGCAGTGTGTTTCATTTCTCCAGTATGTAAAGGTCTTCCTGCACAGGTACATCTACATTAAGTTTACCAGTAATGGAAATGTTGGTTCTCTAGGTCTATTTTGGACCCTCACGTCCCTTGCTTTGTTTTTTCAGATTCTTCGAACCCACTTGCTCCCTGGATACGAGTGATTCTCACCCCTATGAGGAGCTGGAGGCTCAGCTCCCCTCCGCTCTGCTGGAGGAGGTTTTTGGCATCACGCTCCTCGTTGGACGGCTCAAAGACCTGCCTGCCAATGTTCAGAGTGCCTTCACTATAGCTAACCCGGGAAAGGTGTGTGTGACGGCTTCAGGTTCTGTTCTAAAGCAGATAGGGCTTTTTAAAGAATGTGCTACACAAGTGTGGATGGCATACATGTAATAAATACTTACAGAACAAAGGATATCAAATAAACTGTTTGTAGGAATGACTCCTGTGGGAGAGAAACTCCCTCTGGTGGGAACTTTGTGATTTTAGCCTCTGCAGACCATTTACATGCACAAAAACCTATATAACACACTACAGGAAAGGGAAACCCAAAAAGCATAATAGGGCCCCTTTAAGTCAGTGTACTTTGGTACATCCCACCACTGCTTATAATCACCAGCGTCAGCCAGATGTGATGGTATTTAATATAACTTGAGAAAGTGTTTCCAGTGGATTTGTCTACTATTTACCCTCCCACAGATTTTTCCTCCCTCTTGGCATTTGTTGCACCTTCATCTTGACGTCCACTGGTCGGTCTTGGAGATCCTTCACATACTAAGTCACAAGATGCAAGGTATGTGTCCAAGATATTAATATGTGACATGTATTATATTACAGTTTAGAGACTGATTGTAACTGTGAATTTGAATCCAATCCATTGAAAGCATTGTTAAACGTTTTACGGGAGGAAAATGACATGCAAATGTGGAATTGTTGCAGCTACAGAGACTCTCTTTTTACATACAGTTTTAATGATTGCACAGTGGGCATACTCTCCTGACTTGCAGCTCATTATCATGGAAACAGGCTTTTAGGAACTTCACCTGTTTTCTCTCTACAGGCCAGGTGGTGTACGCCCACCAGTTTGTGAACCTGACGGGAGAGAACCTGACCGATAGCAGTCTGTTTGAGGAGCACCTGTGCAGTCTGCTGTGTGACCTCACTGTTCTGGCCATGGGCAAATACAGCAAGGTGGGCGTCTGGCCGCAGCTCATTACATGCTTCTGTTGAGATGTAGCAGCAGTGTTTCTGGGTACTTTTCTAACTGGGAAAAAAAAATGTAATTGTGGTATTATAATATGTTCATTATAACATTTAGTGCTTGGTTGATAGAATATGGATGGAAACTGTGGATAGCACATACAGAATATAAATGTGTCCTCTGTCATCATACTTACAAAAGGTTTTCCCCTGGAAAATGATAATAATTATATTTTAAAATGTTTTGCTTGCTGTATACTTATGCAGTGTTTGTTGAAAATATACATTCCTGGATTGGAAATGTCACCTAGTTAAGTAAAAGTATTATACATATTTAACAGAAAAGTGTCATTATGCAGAAAAAACAACAACTTAAAAGCATGCTTAAAAGACAATTATAATAATAAAATAATGTTGATAGATTCGATAAAATATCTCTAAACTAGTTTATTCTGTAATTGACTACGCTGTTCTTGTATTGGTTTGTTTAATGTATAACAAACTACCATATTTGAAAACCTCTTGATTTCATGCATCACCTGGATCATTTGTAAAGTTACTAAAGCTGTAAAATAAATGTAGTAAAGTAAATAAGTACAATATTTCCCTTTCAATTGAATTGAGTTACAGGAGGAAGTAGCATGAAAAGAAACTATTCAAGTAAAGTATACGGGGCTAAAATGTGCCCTTAAGCACAGTACTTAAGTAAATGTACTTAGTTACCTGCCACCACTGCTTGTTATCAGGTACGTGGTAGACCCCAATGCGTTTATGTAGAACAGTGCCGCAGTTGGGAGCTAACTATGCTAAATGAATCCTGTTGATTTCTAGGTGAGGCCTACGGAGGCCCTGAGCAGCCATCACTACCTCTGCTCCTGCACCAAAGAGCTGTGGGTCCTGCTCATGCACCTGCTGGAGTACAGGAACAAAGTGTTGCACACACAGGTAACGCAAATTAGGGCTGCACGATTTTGGGAAAAAATCTAATTGCGATTTTTCTGACAAATATTGCGATTCGAATTGCGATATTTATTTTTAAGCGACCCAACGGAAGTTTATTGTAAAATGCGGCCATAACTCCGTCTCTAGCACCCCCGCAGCCCGAGCTACGAGTGAAAGAACTAAACTTACATGAAACTTCTGTTAGGTTGCTTTAAAGTCAAGCTTCAGTTTAAGATTCACCCTGTAATAGAAACATGTGATGGAGCATTACTAACCTGACTCAGAAACCATCTAAAGCTCCATTGGAAGCCATTTGGAAAAGGGCAGGCACTTTCAAAAATATTTGGCAGGTGATTGGATCAATCTGTCTATCACCTTCTATCATGGGCCACTTCTGATTGATTAACAATGGCTGGTACATGTGGAGCACAGCACTTCTGATTGGTGTGGATGACTGACACACAAGAAGAACAAAACAAAAATTGAAAAAAAAAAGTTTAAAAAAAATCGCAGGCTTTGCGATTTGATAATCGCATCATTACAAATCGCGATTTCGATTTAAAATCTATTAATCGTTCAGCCCTAATGCAAATACACACATGTTCACAATAACATCAAATAAACTGTCCATGCTAACTGAATGTGTGTTTCTCTCTAGTCCTTCTGGAGCTACATGAACTCATTGTTGAGGCCCCTGGTTTCTGGGAAGCCAGCAGCAGAGCAGTTCAGCGGGCTCCCCACGCACTGTAAGGACCCTCTGGGACTCACATGGTGGCTGCTCACTCATGTGGCCATGTTGGGGCAGTACAGTCGTAGCGGCACTCTCCAGCACGAGGTAAGACGATCACATTGCACTGCACACATTGTCTTTTACCTCAAATGTAAGTTGGTGCATTTCTTTTTAACCAGGAAGTGTAATTCAAAGACAAAATGATGGACGGAAGTTGTAGTTTCGAGTCATCTAAGAGAATTATGCAGTTCTAAAAGAGGATTCATTTGTCTTGACCCTTAAATAAAGAATGGTGCTGAAACTAGACATGGTGATGGAAAGAGACACTTTACTTAAGACAAAGAAATAAGTGAGACTGATGATAGCTCACTTATTTTATACTTAAATAGGTTAATGGTCTACTTCAGTGTTACATTTTATTTCAGGTGACTTGTTATTTTTAGCATTTATTCCCATATATACACTAGGTTAAAAAAACACGTGTTAGTGGATAATGTTTTTAAATGTATCAACTTTTTGTATCTTCTCTTACAGAAACATCTGGGGGAAAATTGGACCTTTGTGGAAGAGTTGCTCAAGTTGTCCTGTAAGCCCAAGGTCAGCACTGTTTCTCTTCATACATGCATTTGAAACCCCAATGAGAAAACGTATGTTTAAGCGGTATGTGTCTGTGTGTAATAACAGGGAGGTGTAGCAGAGGAGCAGGTCAGGATGCATGTCCACTGCTGTCTCAGTGTCTGTCTGCTGTGGGACCCGAGCACCAGCGCTGTCTCCACCCTCTGGGACTACTACAGCAGGAATCTGGTGAGGACGCACTGACCGGTGTATAACAGACGATAACAGTCGAACACACTCAATATGTTGCATCATTTACTGTATGTAAGCAAGTAAGAGGTTATTTCTTAGATGCATGTATGGCTTATCTGATGATAAGTGAATAGTCTGATCTTAATAGTTTTCTCCTGTATTTAGGAATAACTTAAGTGTTTTTACCTAAATAATCTCTAAATGAACCTTAAACTGTTATAGATTTGTAAAACAAGTGGGGAAAAAAGTTTGTGATATATATTTTGTGTTTGCTATTAACGTAGGCTAGAAGATGCAGAGGTAAAGCCCTTTCTGCTGTAAACACATGGTGCATATCTTGTATTAGTTATGTGAAATGAATATCATTTCTATTTTTGGCTAAACATTTATTTTAATCGGATCTCATCTGCCTTAATCCTTTTGGGTAAATGGGTTAGTGGTGCACTTCTGCCTCTTGTGGCCAGAAAGTGTATTACAACAACAAACAAATTGTCGGTCAAAACGTATTCTTTTTTAAGTTACTAAGATTTGTTATTTTGGCATATTTTCTTAATGTTTAAACACAGGACACAGTAACATTTGGATCACACATGAAAACAAATTGATAACCAAATAGTTTTTTGTTCACTTGCTAACTTGCTTTTTTGCTTGACACTATTATGTATTATGAAGTTATTACATAGGTCTTTACACTTGCATTCTATATTATACTCTGTCCCTTCACCCCAGAGCGCTTCCTTCACTGTACCCTGGCTCGGCGTGTCTGGCATGGGCACCCTGTGCAAGACGTCCCTGGCTCTGTTCGAGCAGGCCCGCAGCTGCTGCTCCCCCGCTCCCCTCCACTCTCCAGGACACACCCAGCTCTACCGCTCAGCCAACTCCTTCCACCTCTTCCTCCGAGTGCTGGCCCTGTGCCTTGCCCAGGACCGGGCGGGGGGGGCCCCACAGAGACAGATCAAAGGAAGGTGAGCACGGAGAGAAGGCTGCGAGGCTTTGTACTTCTTCACGTTCTCTTCCATCATGAAAAGTAGGTCTTAAGGCCAGGCAGTTGACTCCATATCCAGTGTGTATTATTGTGCAGGAAGAGAAGATACAAAGATGAAAACATGGAACAGAAGCTGTGAGAAATGATTAATAATCAGGAGTAGGCTTTGTAGCATTCCCTTTCCCCTTGATCTTCTAATGTGTGATGTGTTAAGTGTGCTGTTTGGATTTGTGTGTGTGTATAGGTGCATGAATACACAAACAACATGTGTGTTTGCTCACCATCATGCATTTCAGTCTTGTTTGTGTGCGTGCCAGGTGCACTGCAGTCTCCCAGCGCTTCTTTGATATTTACTCAGGCCCCCCAGTGGACCAGGTGTCTCAGGAGTCAACCACCTGCTCTTCAGCACAGACCAGAGCCAAGAAGCCTCCTAGGGATGCACACACACACACACACTGCACCTGCTCCTTAGAGCGGTGACTTGGTGGCGAGGAGTGTGTGAGGCCATTAGATGGAGGAAGAATTTTGCCTTTGTGAGGGGAAAGTAAGAAATAAGAGACCACCAGCTAACATCAGAACCGAGCGCTGGACCATCCTATATCCCGGGCCGGCTGAGTGCCAGAGAGGCAGCCGTAGATAAATCCGCCTAATGACTTCCCTCTGTCTGGAATGTGCTCAGTAGCACGGCAGACATGGGGGCTAATTAGCTAACGAGCGTGGCGGTTAATTCGCCTTAACGAAGCTGTGTTGGTTTCCAACATGGATAGAGAGGGGAGCAGGGGGGGGGGGGGCGGGGAGATGTGGGTGGTAGGCAGTCTGGCAACCACCAGGCTGGGCTGGGACAGGTCCAGATCCCCCCCTTCCTCCACCTCCCTCACCACTACCTCCTCCCCCCCCCACCCTCAGGAGGCGTGTATTGCAACAGCGTTTCGGCAGCGTTCCTACTCCTGGCCGGGCTCTGCGGGACACCCGCGCCGACCGCATTAATGGGATCGACTGCGAGCATGTTGATCTCCAACGCCGGGAGTTAGGAGCATCTGCTTGCCTCCGGAAAAAAAAGCTGTCTGGAATAAACAAACAGACAGACAGGTTGGGAGAACACAGAAAATCCTCCCTGCTGCCTCCCAGCGCGCTGCTTATATCCCTGTTAGATATTACCCATTCATCTATTTAAATCTCCCTCCTCTCACACACACACTGCACGCTCAGCTTCCTCCTCCTTTATCTGTGAAGATGTTAACCTGGTCCCTCTCAGTTCCTCTTTCCTTTTATCCACTTCTTTATATCCGTCATACTTCTTACACCGAGTTTGTCCTGGGATGCTGGCGGTTTGTGTTTTGACCCAAACAGCAGCTCCACTCACCTGTGTGGGCTGCATCTGTGTTTGGGAAGGTAGTGTTTAAAGAGGAAGGGGGGCTCCTGCCTTTTGTGTTTTCCTGCCAGGCAAGCAAACAGCAAGCAGGATGTGTGGCAATGCATGTGTGCGTGTGGTTTTATTGATCCCTCTCTGGTGTTGCAGTAAATTGGTTTGGCTGAAGAGAGAGGGACCAAGCGCCTACTGCTGCGTGTCTGAGTGTCTCTGACATTTAACATGATCTTTAAAGGCATTTCTCCACAGTGCCCGCAGGATCTAACAGCGTGCTGGGTGAGAGAACCACCCGGCACGCTGTTAGATCCTGCTTACGCTCTCTGTAGCTTTCTCTCCTTCACACACACACACACACACACACACACACACACACACACACACACACACACACACACACACACACACACACACACACACACACGCATAGAGCTTAGAGGGCGATGGAGGCAGGTGCTGGGATGCACAGTGGAGGTGGAAAGTTCAGTTAGTCAGCATTTTGAGTCGGATGTTTTAGAATAACAAAACACCTCTGTAGAACTGGTAAGTGGAAGTAAGAACAAATTCCTTTTCGAGCAATAGAACCATTTTGTTGCCCCATATTAAGTGATATTGTATAAAACCGTACAGTTTTTGTCGATTGACAGGACGTGGTTTATTTGAAAAAGTATATACTTTTCCATTAAAGATACATCTACATGCCCTGATGAGGTCACTCAGACATCCTATCAATTGTTTTCAAGCTTCATAATAAACACAGATAATAATTGACCAGAATTTCTTAAATGTGTCCGGTGCATTCAAATGTTCTATATGGAAACGCTGGAACAGCCACTTTATTATTGAATGTGCTGTAGTAGACCATCTCTTTTGCCACGTTTCAAGAACTCTCTCTGTTCTCTTATGTTTCAAGGATTTATTCCAAGTTCTCCTCTAAGAAGATGCAGGAGCTTCCAGAGGCTGGCCTCATGAACTTCCTGCTGCTGTTCCTGGTGGTGGCCAGGCAAATGGAGCTGGAGGACGTGGCCAGCAGAGCCTGTGAGCTGCTGGGTTACCTTCCCTCCAACTGCCCCCCCGGGCACCGCACCCTGGTCTGGAGGGGACAGCTAGCACTGCTCTTGTTATTCCAGGTATCAATCAGGAATTGTATCTGTAATTATTACACAGCTTAGTTGAATACTCGATTCTGATTGGTCAATTAGGAAATTCAGAGATCTGCTCTTTCAAGATAGCAGACCATTGCTAACGACGCGCTGAACTTAGGACGATATACAGTACCAATCCGCAGAGAGAAGTACCACTCATTTAATTCAGATGTTAAAAAAAAAACAATATCCCTTTTTATATTTTGGGGATGCATGGAAGAGGTTAAAAGACGCAGATAGATGGACGATAGAGAAATCAGCATAATAGGACAGACAAGAAGTGAACACTAAAGGGAAGAGCAGAAGAAGATAGAAAGGAAGTGAACACTAAAGGGAAGAGCAGAAGAAGAGAGACAGGAAGTAAACACTAAAGGGAAAAGCTGGAGAACAAAATGAAAATGATTGAGAGAAGAAAAAGAGATATGTTATCTATCAAAACCCAGTTAGATTAACATTCATTGGATTGTCCACTTTGTTGTTCAGATATATCACATGTTTTTTACTAAATGATACATTACTTGTTGAAACAAAACACTGTAGTGACTCCCAGTGAGTTTCATGTGTTTTCTTCACTCCGCTGGGAAACTGCTCTCATGTCAAGAAGCATTAGATCAGTGCATCGTCCAATCAGTGAGCGATACACAGTAAGGGGGCGGGGCGAGTGTCTGAGGATTTCACCGGTTATCGCTCCTCCGTTATCGCTCCTCGATCCTCGGCACAAATAAGGCCCATGGGACGCTACTCAAGATGGCGCAGAAAAATCAACTTCCGGTGATACTGAGCCCGAGGAGCGAGGAAATAAAAAATAAGAGAAGTGAGATGCAGCCATAGACAGGAAGTGAACACTAAAGGGAACAGCAGAAGAAGATAGACAGGAAGTCAAAACTAAAGGGAACAGCTGAAGAAGATAGACAGGAAGTAAAACTAAAGGGGACAGCAGAAGAACATGGACAGGAAGTGAACGCTAGAGGGAACTGCAGAAAAAGATTAATCGAAAGTAAACAATTAAGGGAACAGCAGAAGAAGATAGACAGGAAGTAAACACTAAGGGAAACCCTTCAGGGTGATTCAATATCCGTCCCTTTTGTGTTGGGATCCTGTTCACCCTATCGGGTTGTTTTTTCATTGCATTATCCCTTAAGTGTTTTGTTGCGAGCCTTGCACACAACAAAATATTTTTGGTGTAAAAATTCCACCAGATCAAACTTAATTTGTTATTCTTCTTTCAATCTTTTTTTCCCAGGAGAGGGGTCTGGATGTTGGAGCCCAGGCTGGCTGGCTGGCCTCCTCCTTCAATGAGACTGCCAAAGAGTTCTACGATAAGACCACAGATGCGTCTCGTAGGCTCGCCCTCTGGGGGCCCCTCGGCTCCTACCTGGAGGGCGTGGCTGAAGTGTTTGAAACGAGCAGCAGCCTCAACCTATCGGAGGAGAAGCTGCTCAACGAAGGTTTTGATTGGCTGTTGCCTGCGTGCCACCTCTCTGAGCTGAATTCTGCCCTGGGCTTCCTGCAGATCGTCCTCTCCCAGCTCAGGTGAGACAGCTGATGGAAATATACTCTCCAGCTCCAAGGTATCTTATTCTCAGTCTCTCAAATGATTCCGCACCTTCACAGATAGTAGACATTTTCAGACCAGTTTTTTTCTGGCCCAGTCCATACTAAGCTTCTATTAACAACTGGCTACAGCAGAGGATAGTGATCTATTCTGCTCTTGCCATCCCAGAGTCACTCTCTTCTCATACTGACAATAGGTGGTTTGTGCTGTCAGCAAGAATAAGCGTCCTGTGTTGCGTTGAGGCCCCTGTTAGTCTCAGTAGACCCAGTGGCCCCCGTGTCACCCTCACCAGGTGCTGGTGAAGCTCTGAGTAGAGTTACAGGCCCAAGGGAGCCTCCATGGACCCTCCTGTCGTCATGGGAATGGCGGCAGAGAGACTATGGTCAGGACGGGTTCAGCGGTAGGACACGGGTGTCGGTTACATGATCGACCCCGGCTGAAGGTCAGAGAGTCACAACGCGAACAGTGTCTGTTTATGTGGAGGTGGGGACAGGAGGGGGGGTAGACACAAATCAGGTGAGACCGGGAGGATATGGAGTGAGGAATGATGCTCTCACCGGAGAGATTCAGTTAAATCTGGTGTTAGTGTCACCGTTTGCAACAACTCTTTCAAATGAACTATAATTATCACACGTAAGAAGTATAGCAAGAAGTGAGTTATTACTTTAAACTTGTTAATGATGTTTTTTGAAATACGAGACAATGACTTCATAGCTTTAATTTAGCCATATTCCCAGTGTGTGCACAACTTTGGCAAAGAAACACAATGCAATGAATTTCTCCTAGAAAGTAATCAAATCAAGTACCAGGACTAGAAATACATTTAAATAATACTTATTGTCTTCCTTACTTTTAGACCACTTTCTTTGAACTAAAAAGTCATATAAGTAAGTGACCAAGAACGTTGTTGTAAATGTTCAAATGCAAATGCTGCATTTATTTAAGCAAGCTTCAAACTCAATGATTACATATTGTGACTTTTTTTAAGGTCGTTATAGCAAACACTTGCCTATTTTAATCATTTAGAGTCATTTGTCTGGTTACTTGGTCAAAATAAACTCAACATTCACGCTCCTTTAAACTCTGTTTTGGTCTCAAACAACTCCTAAGAGAAAATATATGGCTCTATAGATGCTAAATGCTCTGCTATGTTTACCAGGTGGTCATTAACTGTGTCTGTTATGACAACTTGCAGAAATGCGCTCATCTATAATCTATTGTAAAATGTGTGATAAAAGGTGGGGAAAGAAAAGAACAAACCTGAGCCAGAAGCCACATCTAAATCTGTTCTGAAAAGACATCACGGTTTCATCCTCAGTCGTAGTAAGTACATATTCCACGTTTTTTTTATAGTAACGTGATTTCTTAAAAACATTATTTAGATTTAGAAGGGCTTACCTAAGCATAAAATATAACTCACTTTTTACCTACACAGCCTACAAAAGGTTAATACAAGAGCTGAAACACCAGAATAAGGACATTGTGAAGTTAAGTGTTCATGTAGGTGTATGATTGCTTTAATTCTATAGTGTATACGTTCCACCCTCTCCTCCGTGCACACACACAAACCTGCCCACACACCACAAGTGAAGCATTAACCTAAGTGTACGCCTCTCTTATTCCAACGCCGGGCTCCTATATCATCTCGTTATCTTTGCTAATTCCCAAACTTCCCATCTCAGATCTCGGGGGTTGGAGGGCACACATTTGCACATTAATGGCCAAGAAGAGAGAGTAAGAAGAAGGAAAGATGTCCCAGAGGGCCCCCTGTGTTATGGCCCGGACCACACTGACCCATTTAACCAAATAAAAAAATCCCATGTTCTCTCTTCCTAATCCGTCCCACCAAATTAAACATAATTGTTCATCCTGGCAATTCTCGGAATCTCTTTGTGATTAATGCCTTTTCTGTGACACAATTAATGGGCAATTATGTAGCCTGGCAAATTTCGCCTGTGCATCATTATGTCTTCTGAGAGCCGCACACATTAAGAGAATTATTCTGCCAATCGGCGAGGCAGCGGAGGGCCCGGACGCTCAACTCTTGATAGCCGCTGCCATGGCGCTGAGGCAGGAAGCCAGTCCCAGGCCTAATTCCTCCGTTTAATTCCTTCCCATGACCCTCTCCTGTGGGAGTGTGGAGGGTGTCGCCGCTCGATGAGGTGAGCTGGCATTGGCGCACCATGCGGAATCTGTGTTTTGGAACAAACAAGTAATCCCTATCACCTTGGCTTGGTAAAAAAAAAAAGCCTCCCTGTGAAGAGTTCTCCTTTGTGAGCGTTAAGACCGTTTACTGGAAATTAGGCCTTATTTTTCAAAGTCAAGGACAACTACTGCTAGGTTACTTATGAGAAATGCAGTTACACCTATTCTTTTAAATAGAGATATATGGAGAAATGTGGGTTTGATGTGTCATTTTTAGGATGCTACATTTTATTTGATACGTTCGTATACTCTTTGCTGCCAGGGGAAGGGTTAAACAGGGTCCCTAATGGTGTGTTGGCATTGAGTGTGTGTTTGTGTGTACACATCATAAGAAGCCGCAGTGAGCAGGATTAAATGGGGTCTCTGATGATGTCTTGTACAATGAGGGTTGATGGGTGTGAAAGGCCTATTCCGCAGTAGTAACGAGGCTAATGAATTCAGACTCTAATCGATTGTCTCAGCTCTCTCTGGATAGATGCAACCTTGCTGGAAGGGAAGGCGCTGCTGTGTGTGTGTGTGTGTGTGTGTGTGTGTGTGTGTGTGTGGTGTGTGTGTGTGTGTGTGTGTGTGTGGTGTGTGTGTGTGTGTGTGTGTGTGTGTGTGTGTGTGTGTGTGTGTGTGTGTGTGTGTGTGTGTGTGTGTGTGTGTGTGTGTGTGTGTGTGTGTGTGAGACAAGAGTGTGTGGTTTAGGATGGGGGGGTTACTAGTTCCTCTGTCCTTTCCTCCTTCTCCAACACCCCCCCATGCGGCGTTCGAGGGGGACAGGAGGATCATCTCCAGTCTAAATGAGATTACAGCTCCTTCAGCTGCTTATCTGGGCTAATGCCAGCCACTGTGGGGCTGCTGGGGCTGGGGCTGCTGGGGCTGGGGCCGGGGATCAGCCAAGGTGTAGTCTGTGTACAGGGGATCAGCATTATGCCTACAATATCCTCCCCACCTTCACATCCACCCTGCTCTGCGCCACACTGCAGCGCACCGCCGCACCCAGTAATCCCCCAGGAGAGACACATGGAGAAGAAGAAGGAGTGAAAGGAGGGAGCAGAAGGATTTGAGGGTTGGGATTTTTTTGTGTCTGATAGATTTGTTTATCTGCTTTTCTTTGTGTTTGTGTGTCCTTCAAAGGCGGGTCCATCAGCGCAGTGTCCAGTCAGCCCCCGCCTCGGCTTGGGCTCCGGGTAACGGCAGTGTGGTGAAAGAGCGCCACCTAGCGGTAGCAGCAGCACTTTGGGCGCACTTCTTCTCCTTCCTGCGCAGCCTACGCCTCTCACAGACCCCCCCCCGCACAGCTGGCAGACGCTGCTGCAGGTCAGTGAGTGGAGGGAGGACAGGGTGGAGGGAAGAGTTTTGGACAATGCTCCAACCAAAATAGATTTGTGACGACTGAAACTGATCACTTTCAGTGTATGCCAGAGTTCTGCACAGCAGAGAACTTTAAGGGCACATAAATGAACACATGCCTACTACAGCTTTGATCGGACCAAAGAAATCTGGCCCCTCCCTGCATGAATCCACAGACTAGACTAGAGTCCGAACCACAACAGGAGTTTGGGGCTTATCCTAACTTAAGAAATATCTATACATCAAATGTTTTTCAGTGCAACACACATTTGATATACAGTCTCAAACATGCACCTTCACTTTACTTTATTTAGGTATCCCATTATTTATAACTGTGTAACAACCATTCTTCTGACACAAGACAAGACATTCAATCATCACACTTATAATAAGTACAACAAATTAAATAAAACTAAGGCAGAGTAAGTAGATCTATCATAATCATAATGTCACGTCACCAGAACATGTCTAAATTAATAGAACAATTGTACACACTACTAGTGTAGAGTTAAGGGTAACCTGAGTTAGCACCACACATACTGTATGATATACTTTTGCATACAGAGTATCATTTGTGGCCATTTTCTATTAAAAAAGCATCCTACTGCCTTCTCCTACCAAACTTTGAGCACACCCATAAAAACGGTTAAATGCCTAGAGATTGTGTAATATTTATATTCAATAAGAGATAAGAGTTGGCCTTATTTCAGAATCTGTCAGAATCAGAAATACTCATGCGTGACGGATGTTTAAAAGATACATATGTATATAAACATAAGAAGTACGAATGTGCAATAAAAAGATAGAATCAAATAAGATACCGTTTGAATATAAGAATTAAATAAATATGCTCTGAGGGAGAAATGAAACAGTTGTGCAGAGAAACGAAGCTCTGGTGCCCACATACAGTAAATGACACTGCACTTTTAACCATGTATGTGTTCACTTTCTAGTCATTGAAACTCAATTGAAAAAATTCCCTCTTCCTCAGGCTTCACGCTGTTGGCCTTTGATCTGCCTGGCTCTGCCCCCCAGGACCTTCAGCCCAACCCGGTCCAGTCCATCATGCAATGCTTCGGCTGGGACGACATGGTTCAGCCCGTCCTGGTGACTCGCTACCTTCCCCATCTGCTCCAAAACAGGTAGCCTTCAAATCCACCCTCTGTGCCTCCATCACTATCACATTGCTCCTAATGGGAAAACATCAGGTGAGATGATGTACACCTCTGAACATGTCGTGACAAAATCGTTTTCTACAGGTCCTGTAGGTATTTATCTAATTAATAGATTAGACACTGAGCGTCCTTGGTGTTATCAAAATCGGTTTTAAGGAGGAAATTGCTCCCATGCCTCAAAACAGAATAAAAAAATGTAGTGCATCTTCACGATCACCCTCAAGGGTAGAAAACAAAGTGACTATTTCAAACTCAGAGGTCCTCCTCAGACAGAGCCAAGAGATACTGAGGGGCTGCACCTGAATATAAAGCCAGAACAAGGACACTCCTCTTCTGTGTTGAGAAGCACCAGCCTGCTAAGTGTCCATTCACTACAGTGTAAAGTGCTCGCAATATCTGACTTAAATATAGGGTTTGCAAAATGAAGTTAAATTATGACACCTTTGATCAGGGGTGCCAAACATAAGGCCCACTGACCGGATCTGGCCCTACACCCCATTTTGTGTGGCCAGCGAGAGCTCGCAGAATATAATGAGTTTATCATACGATGAAATCCTGCTTTATGGAAGTACGGTCCACCAACCAAAGCAAGACAGGTCCCAGAACTAACAGACAGAATGACCCGCTCTGTCAGAGTCAGTCAGTGTGGCTACGGCTGATTCAGAGACACACATGGATTTATCTTACAATAACGTGCGTTACGGTCATTTCAGGTTTTTGGTTGATTAAAAAAAATGAAGTCTTGGCTCTCAGAGTATGAACGTCTTCTCGCTATATTCAGACGATAAAACACTTGTTGAGTTTCAAATAATGATTGACAGGCTGATATTAACCATAGTAACACTGCAGGGTCCGGAACAGGGTTTTTCTGAGTCTTGGCTTTCAGACAATTAAAATATTATATCTGGATTCAAATGATAGACACTTAAATAGTGCTTGAATATAAAAAAAACAAAAAACATAATTATTCACTTAAAGGTGGGGTAGGTAAGTTTGAGAAACCGGCTCGAGATACACTTTTTGTTATATTCCATGGAATGCTCTTAACATCCCGATAGCAATGAATATCTGAAGTGCTTTGACAAAAAATCCATACAAAATGTCATCTGTGGAAGCCGTAATACTGTAAAAAGTACAACCAATCCGTTTAGCCGGACGGATTGGATTGCCGCCCTGTCTGTCAGCCTTCCATCTCGTGCACGCACAAATGTATCTCGTGTCCTCATTGGGCGTGCCGTCATTGGGCGTGCATTGCAGCAGTACTTCAATGACTCGCCAGCAACAGGCGGCCACTTTCACCAGTCTGCTGACGTCATGTGCGCGTTCATGTGTGTTGGAGGAGGTGCTCTGTAAGGAAGTCTGAAGGAAGGGGCGGATTATTTTCGGCTGTGTACTTTCAAATGTTAGTGCACTCGAGCCGGTTTCTGAAACGTACCTACCCCACCTTTAAAAAATATTGATCTTTGATTTTGAGACATGATGAGGCTCGATGTGCCCCGTGATTGAAATTGAGTTGGACACCCCTGCCCTAGATGGACATTTTCACCTCCATTTGTTCCTTCTAAACTTGTCATTAAGTAAGGGATAATGTGGTCGTCACTAATGAAAAAAGAACACTGACATGGTGATCAGGGTCCTGATTATAACACGGCTTTCTACTTAATAAACCAACGACTTGTTCACATTATCGATTTCATTCTTATTTGTAGCTCACAGCTACATTTACCCGACTCCTTTCTGCAGATTGACAGATTGCTCCTCCTTAGCAACGGTCTGTTCTCCTCAGCAGTGATCTGTTAGCAAGAATTAACCACCTCTGGAGAGTCCAAATTGACCAATCAGAATTACGTATTCAACTAAGCCATGTAATAAAAGCTTTTGTATGAACTCGAGATATATCTGAGGGGAACATGCATTTATGTATTTGACATGGTGGTGAATATTCTCTTTTAACTAAAGATGTGAACTTAACAGATAATCTCCTGTCAGAATACAAAACATATGAGGATTTATGCACAATGAGTTGTATAATGTGCATTTTAACATTGACACTTATGTTGAATGTGCTTGCATGTATAGTTATCCCCCTTCTCTTCAGTCACATGTCTACATATGGTGTTTGATGTTTGATGTTGTATATGAGGAACATTTCATATTTTATTATTTGTTCTTCATTGCCTCATCAACAGTAAAGCTCCAATAGTCGTAAAAACATGCCAGCTGTATAACTACACGTTACCTTTGTGTTTATTATGCTCTGTGTCTGTGTTTCCAGTGAGCTGGTGTCCTCACTGAGCAGAGACTCAGTGGTGTCCGGCTCGGCACAGAGCCTGTCAGTGAGGGCCTGGTTCCGCTGCGTCCTCCAGCAGCACCTCCACAAGAACCCCGACGGGTCCGACAGCAGGACAGGTAACGCCTCTGAGCCTAGGATGTGATAAATACATAACCAACCATTGTCCACCAGGCAGGATATCCTTGGATACAGTGTCTATGGAATGATTTGCATGTTACTCCATTCAGAAAGGTGTTTCCCAAACAGTAATGGGTAGGGGGGGGTAGATGAACTCTCTGGGTAAGACAGGAAGTATCTGGCATTATGCTAAAGAATGTATGGCATTGGATTTACATAGTTGATTTCGTTGCCTCCCCGGGACCCCCCTAAATGATCCCAACAAAACGCCAGATTGTAATGCTGCTTTAATCAAAGGCAAATCTTAACTTTCATGACCTCAACTCTACTCTGCTTGAAAAATGGAACATCTTTGAGGAGAAAATGATGGCTTGTTTTTATACCTGCTTGTTTTGTATTGGAGATGAATGATGCATCATTATTGAAATACCCGGTGTGTACCTGCTTGTCTTCAGGCCGGGCCGTGGAGGAGCAGCTGTTGGAGCTGACCCGGCTGGTGCTGAGGCTTCCTGAGGTGGAGGGTCTTCTGCAGAGAGCCGGCCTGCAGCCCCCTGCCTCCAGGACAGAGCCCACTGCAGCCCTGGAGATATTTGTCAAGGTAAAACACAGAGCTCCTGAAATATGTCAAAGATTTACACTTATCTTACACTGAACTGTTCAACTCAGAGCGTCAGACTCTCAAACTAGGACCTACTTCCTCGCCAGCAGCCAAGCCATTTCAAACTGCAATTCAGCATTGCCTATATTATGTATACTTATGGACCACTGTATTTTAATACACATCATGCATAAAATGTGCACAAATATTTTTGAATTAAAACATTTCTTTAATTGGCCGGTTTACTATATCTTCTTTTGTTTTAATAAATATATTTTATTTTATCTTTTCTTTTCACATTCTTATTTCAAATTTTTATGTTTATATACATATTTTATTTTATTTTAAATAGAACAACTCACTCAAAATGTTCCCCGTTATATAGATAAAGTATTCGATTAAGGTGAATACTGACTCCCAAAAGAACCATTGTATATAAATGACTTAACCAGTGTAACTCTTGCAGAAAACGTTGTTTCTCGTTTATCTGAAATTGATGAGGTACTTTACTCATGTCTGCACTATATTCAATGAATGCGTACAGCCTGTATTTACCTGTAGTTATTTCCATGTTTGTATTCCCTCCTCTCTCCCAGGCTGTAGGGGGGGTGTACAGTGGTCTGCAGGTCCTGTCTGAGCGCTCAGCCATGGTGACCAGAGCCCTGGACTACATTGGTGACATCATGAAGCACATCAAACCCTCTCTGGTCAGCAAGAGTCAGGAGGGGCTGCAGCTGGCCTACTGGGCTGTCGGTAGGAGCACCGCATCCCGTTTATATATCACTACAGCAAACAGTATTTATTCTAAGTCTTTTTATATTCTATCATCTTATTCCATCTCACATGTACATCTTAATTCCTTCGTTTATTATTTAACTTTCTACTCTCTTTTGTTCTGAAGTGTATTGTATGTTGGACAGGTGGGACTGAAGTTTTTCATTGCCTACACTGTAGCTTTTGTGCAAATGAGAATACAATCGTTGCATCTTGAAAATTGTTGAAGTGCTGTACCAAAAAACTTTACAGAACACACACACACACACATCAAGAGAAATGTGAAGATAATTGTTTACTCCTGGTGCATTCATAGGATAAATAAAACACTGGTTCTGATGGAGGCATATCAAATACTTAAAACAATTTTATTAGATTTTTTAAATTTCAAAACGAATTTTTTTTAACAATGTGGCCTTTAGAAAAAATATAAAATATTTGAAATGATGATCGTTCATAAACCTGTAAACTTTACAGACCCCCCTTTAAGATCCCCACTTTAAGATCCACTGCTTTTTATGGTAGACATGACTTCAGAAGCACTTTCTTTATTTCTCCAGTCTGAATCTGCTTTGTGCCGTTTGACCCAGGCTGCATAGTGAAGCACTGGAGCCCCCTGCTGGCCACCTCTAAAGCCCAGCAGCTGCTGTTCAGAATAGTGGACGGGCTGCTGCTCCCCCACAACCTCACACAGCAGGACAAAGCGCTGAGGGACAGCCTGCCTCTGTATCTACAGGTCAGGACAAACATACACTCTGTTAAAAACTGAATCAACGAGGCTGTTATAAGAACACTTTTCCTCTCATATCTGTCATTTGTTCCTTTAATTGATTCCCCTGCAGGGTCTGTCGGTGGCCTCCTGTGTGTCTCAGTCGCAGGGCGCCTACCTGAAGCAGCAGCTCCGCTCGGTCACCCGCAGATATCTGGACCACTTCCTCCCCGCCTCCCCCTCCATGGGTGTCATCTCCAACCACCCAGTGCTCCTGGGGGCCTGCGAGGCTAACCCTACCCCCCGAGGAGCGGCGCTGAGGAAGACCATCCTGGATGTGCTCTGGTAGGTCGCTGGAACCAGGATGTTGGTTGGATCAAATTGATTATGGCAGCTTAGATTTAGTTGTTTGACTACATTTTAATCCATTGGCAACCTATGATTTCTTGTTTTCCGCAATGTTTCTTTGACTATGCAATTCTTCCTCAAAACTAAATAAAACGTTTTTTGGAAACGTCTCTCATTTCAGCACGAGCTTCCTGCAGTTTAAAGGTCACGCCCCCCCTCCACGACTGGCAGCAGTGCTCATGTTCCTGTTGGAGCTCCTGAGGAGAAACAGTGACTCAGACCCTGCCCTCCTCACTGTGCCCCTCCCCTCTCTGCTGCGCTGTGTGATGCTGGTCAACGAGCCGCAGGGTAACTTCATTCCTATACAAACAAAATAATCCATAGCTTATAAAGTGAAGGGTATTTGTTGGACATCACCTCCAACTCAATACTTTAAGTGCAATAAAACCTTTGTGAGTAAAGAGCAAATGCTTCATCATTACACCTGTGAGACAACCATAAACGTGTAGAAAAATGACATTTCAATCTGCTCTCTTCCCAATCCGCTATCCACAATGCTATGTTTTACACAAACTGAATGCTAGCTAATAGCACATTTCTACAAGCAAGCCAGAACAAAATCTGTCTGTATGAAGTTTAATTGGATTGCTCAGTTTGCCGCGTATCGTCAGATTTGAACGTTTCTTGTAACTTTAGCTGCTTGCTGAGAAAAGCACATGTTATTGAATTTTTAAAGTGACATTGCTCTTGTAAACTTAACTGTTGCTGCACTAGACATATTTACTTACCGTAACAATATAAAGACATTCTTATCCTGTTCTGAATATTTTCTTTAAAATAATACATTAATTATAATTACGAATTATTTAGTGATTTAAAAAAAGAGCCGATAACAATAACGATAAGAAACTTAAACTATTACCTTCCCTGATAATACCCATTCCTAATGTGAGCTACTGAAAGGACCAGGGGTCAGGAAATAATAAATGTCTGAGTCACTTGTCTGTCTGGTCTTTAATAAGTTAGCAATTTTGAATAAACAGCAAATGTTAGTCCTTTTTTCCCCTCAAGCGCTTCTAAAATAAATGTGATTAAACCTGCATCTGCAGCTCCGTCACTTTGATACCAACTCAATAAATGCTGTAATTATAGTTCTTACCATCAGCGAGATGGTTGCAAACACGTCCTTAATGCTTACTATTCCCATCAATCCTCACTTTTGGGGCAAATGATACAGAAACAAATAGTTTGTGTTTATAGTAATAATCACTGAATGAAAAGCTGTCTCATGATAAGTGCGTGTTTTCCCCGTGCAGTGAGGAAGACGAGCACAGACGCCTTACAGCTGGTGGTGGAGCGGTGTGCCGCTGCATCTACAGAGGGACCGAGTGACCAGATGATCACTGTCTTAGGGTAATTAACAATTATGATTAGTGGAAAAAAACTGCACCTGTATTAGAGCTTGATGCACAACGCTGATACATTCACTGTAATCACTGAGTAACTATCTATATTACCTATGTTATCCTTCATGGTTTTCACTGTGTAATCCCAACGCTCCCAGGTCGTTTGTGGGGGAGAACGAGGGGGTCTACGACAGGCAGGTATACAGTGTGCTGGAGACGGTGGCTGTGTTAGATCCCTCTGTGGTCCAAGCTCTCATTCCCAACCTGTCCATCAGTCTAAGAAACACTGAGCACAAGAGAGGGCTGGGCAGGAACATCGCCTTGAGGTGAGCTAACGCCTTGAAACTATTTTTAAACAGTAAGCAGATGAAGAAGAGAACTAGATATGTTCCGTATGCTTATTGAATGTGTCCACTAATATGACTGCTCTGTGTGTTACAGAACTGCTTATATGAAGCTGCTGTGCCTCCTTGGAGAGAGTGGGCAGGCAGAAATAACCAGTCTAGAAGCTGAATAAACTGTTTTCAGAAAAAGGACCAGCTCCACCCCTTGTCGCCAGCCACAAGAACAACGTGTTTGTCAGACCAGACTACTTTTTGTGTCAAATGTTCCTTATTTGGTCATGGGAAAATGCATTGCTGTGCTGCTTGCAAACTATTAGGGTTTGGCATATTTCCTCAGCTGAGTTAATGTGGAAACCTATTCTTCTGGTGCAGTTTGACTGAAAAAACAGCAAAGATACATACAACTGTGAATGTTCAAAAATGCCTTATCAGCTGTACTTAAAGGGACACTTAACGCCAACAGCAAAATATGGATTTGTTTCTCTTTCCTGTAATGTAGTTTGATGTAGGGACTTTTTTATTTCTAACAAACTTAACCCGCCAACTGAATCACTGTGCTAAAGGAAGCTAACCGCTACTGCCATTTCACCTAGCGCGCTGACTAACGTTGTCGGTGTAGCTAGCTCAGCGCGCACACTTCTTTCTGCGCAATTATATGAAAAGCATTCCGTAAAAACTAAAAATAATCTACGCTCACAACAATGTCTGTGGATTCTCTTGCGTAATTGGTAATGATTTCTGAAACACACACACTCAGGAATGATAAATAGAACTACAGGTAAGAGTGTATTTTTGAAATGTCCCTTTAAACAATCCCATATCAACTACTTGAAGGGACAGTAATCCACAGCATCAAAAGCAAAATGTCTCCTATCCTAGTACAGTTTAATGTAAGGACTATTTTATATATTTACTTAATTTCACCCGCCAACTGTATCACTGCAGAAAGAAAGAAGGAAGCTACATTAATGCCATTTCACCTAGCGCGCTAAACTAGCTAACGTTTTAGATGTAGCTAGCTTAGTGTGCAAGTCTAAAGATTATGTCGAGTAACTGGGTAAAGATTCCTGAAAGACGTTGCTGTTGAGTTTTAAATGTATTTTTTGGCCATTTGACACTTAAAGTAATAAGAAACATGTATGTTTGATCATTGGGTGCCCTGTAGTTAAGAGTGTCCATTTATGCATGAGCCTCCAATCATAGAATGTAAGCATAATATCACTAGTTTGTATATAATGTACATGTTGTAAAAAAGTTGCAGCTCTGCATTTTGGCAGACGTGTTTAATAATTAATTAAATAAAATGTGACAATAAAAAGGAATATGCTCACTTACTCACATGTCCAGCTTTTCATTTCAGCTCTAAAGTAAGAAAGGAACATACTATTGTGCTATACCGTCAGGTGCTGGATCTGTCTCCACTCGGCTGGCACTCTGAATTATAGATCTGATGACAGTAGTGGGCGAGCCCAAAGAGTTCAGCAGCAACACACACAAAAAAGTAGAGGAGTACTGTTTGTTCTCTCGCCTTTTCTGAGCCGCAGCAATCTCTTGCGTTCCGGCTTTAGTTTGCACCGAATCACATGAAGTCTAACTCAACTGTCTCCCACAATCACAGTCCCATTTTCTCTCATTGCTCGTCATTTTCCAACCTCATCAAACAGCTCTTTGCATTCCTTTTCTCCTGTGGTACCAGAAGTTGTTAGACAAGCAAAAGAAAGGCACTAGAAGTGATGCTTAAAATGAGTGTGCTCGGTAATTCACCATCTTCCCATCATAGCTATTAACATAGACAACATTCCAGATAAATGTACATAGCTTCTTTTATTTTGAAAATGTGCCATATATTCTTTGAGACATGTTGTTTTGGACAGGAGAGGGAAGTGCAGAGACATTGTCTTTCTTTTGGTCAAAGTAGATTTGCACACTGGAGTGATATTATAATATAGTAGACACTTTTTTGGAGTATATTCCATAGATATTCTCTTAATGATGACGGACATTCATTTGATAATAAATAGTCTTCGGCCCTGAGCAAACTCACACTCACTTACATTTTTAAATAACATACACACATCCAGAAGTGTATGGAGGCAAATGAGAGAAATTGTGGTTATTTATTATAATGTTTTGGTTCATAATTAAAAGGGGGGATTTAAAGGTTTTGCCTGGATGATCTTGCTTAATTATATTATTTGATAAACAGGTGGGGAAAATGTTTTTTTTTTGTAGTACAGGGGTCAATGTTGAGCCAAATGTTGTTGTTTTTTTAAATGGGGTTATTCTTAAGTCTTGAACCCAGGAGAGTAAACAATTTATGTCAGATGGTTTTTTTCACTTGCCTTTCAGGGCTGCCGTAGTCTTTTCTAAATTCAAATCAAGTCATTATTACCTGATTTTAATTTTTAAATGGTTATTTATCTTTTTATGTGGGCTTCAGCTTCAAGCTCTTAACACTTGCCGATCGTATCTTTAATTTCAAAGTACATGTGAGTCAATGAGATAACAAGCTTTGTCTTTTATATTGTTTTTAGGCCACCAAAGTGATTATAGAGGTCTGATGAAATGATACAGAGATTTGAGCTAGAAACGCTCCTACAGCCCTGTAATAGGTCCCATACAGGTCAGTGTCTTTGACTTCAAGTGGACCATTGATCAATGCATTCATATCCCACAAGTCTCTATTTGGTAATGGGATTTATTTCCTGTTTTCTCAGGGAATTATAATCCCTCAGGAATATTTTTTTCTTACCTTGCTTCACTGGGCATCATGAGTGGTGCCTCAGTATTAGGGGAAAGAACAACAGATATGCTATAATATTGTGACAGTGGTTTGTTAGTGAGTTGCAGAATAACATGGCTCTTGAAGTCAAGTTATTCAATTTGGATCTTCCCTCGTGTGACAGAGAGGGCAGGTTCCGGAAAGATAGCAAAGATCCGGTACGTTTGCAAATACTGACGGTCCAGAGTTTGTGTTGAGGCTCCTTCATTCTCTGGTTAGTTCATGTGTTTGTGTTCTTTGACGTTTTGTTCATCAGAGGATTAAACAGCACCTATCCTGTGATGGGGTACTTGTAGAGTCTGTAGGTTTGGGCAGGTGAAGTAAGGAGCAGGTAGGAAACACGTCGCTATCCCGTTGGAGGCGAATGGCAGTGTTGGCCCGTAGAAAACCTCCTCCTTCCCCTCCGAGCTCAGATCCAGCACCTGGAAAGAGGAAACTTATTTGCTTATCCTCATAGACTACCTCCAAGGATTTATGATTTAGTTACTCCCAAATGTCTTCAGATATAGATGTTAAAAAAGCTTCTGCCACCTCATACAAACACAAAAATCGTAAAGTTTTTGATATTATTTTTCTATCAAGCGACACTAATGAGCAGGAAAAGCACACAAGTCCAATCGCTTGTAACCATTAAATCTTAGCCATCTTCAACTCTACAGTCACATTTTTGGTAACTGAAGGGTTTTCTTTTCTCGAAAACCCTTTCTTATTTGCTTGGTTGTGTGTGCTATACTTTTTTTTGGAATTACTCTATACAGCTATACTCTTTTATTGTACATCAGAACACACAAGGGGAAGAGTCTAACATTTAAAATATGAAAGGGTGGAGGAAAATCCACAGCTTGAATTTATAATTATTGGGGTGCATTTCAGTATCCTGTAGTAGAAATTAGTATTACAGAGACAGACATTAACACAAATGATCCTGATGACAAAAAAGAAAATTCACTTTTACCAGAACTTTTTTTCTTTGTTTGCCTCTCAAGGCTTCCATAGAGCCCTGTAGTGTCTAATTCAATTGAATTAATACTTTATCATTGTTGTTTAACGTCACTATGAAAAGCATATATTCAATAAAATACCTAAATTCTCTTTATCTGATAAACTGATAATAACTGTTAGAAGCCTTATCACTCACCTGAATGCATGCCAGAGGCTCGTTGGTCCAAATTGAGTATCCTCCCACCACATAGATCCTGTCATTGTGGACGGCTACTCCGGACTCGTTTTGACCTGGGGAGAGATGACACAATGCTTCACTAACAGGGAGAGGACATCCTGACAATATGACCCCCCAGTCCCCCCCGGGATGCAGAGAGATAAAGATGGGGCAAGGACAAGAGTGTCCTGTTCTTTTTCACTGTGACTTTGTCCTAAACTTTGACAGATATGAGGACAGAACAAAAGAGGAAAGTCATACGGAAGGAGAGAAGGAGGAAGTCGCTCTACCTCTCTACAACAACTATTTCTGCCACCATACACTCCCAACTCACCAACTGCCTCACTGACATTTTTCTGAAACTAAACTAATCATTTGTATTGGCCCAAACTCACTAACCCGCTCTACCCATGACTTCTCTCTAAACATCGTCCTGCAGCTTCTCCCTCCCTCTGGGACTCCCTCCCCAGTCACATCCAAAAGGCCAACACTCTTGAATCCTTCAAAAAAAATCTCTCAAAACTCACTCATTCACTCTTAACATTTCTAATCATCAACCCCTACACTTTAAACCATGCAGACACATTAAATGAGAGAATATGTTTACATCCTGCAGTATCTGCACCACAGATTGTGTGTGTAGTGAAGGTGGTACAGCCCTCCTCCACCAGCCTGGAGGCTATAGATGCGGTCCAACTCAAGGATATATGTGTTTTCAGTGTATATCATCCTACCTCCTACTCACAACAAACGGGGCGTTGTGTGTAATCTAATGAGAGGAGAGGATCTACTGTATGTTTCTAAGCATCACATACTGTGCAATGTACATCATGAACAGTGTAATGTATTGGAATTAGAAAAATATATACTGTATTTGAGATTAATACGCATTTGTTTATCCCCTTAAACCTTCTATGTACCATTATGTTTCATGAGTATATCAGCTGCAATCAAATGAAAAGACATACGTATTAAATGTTAGGATTTTCACATTCAAAAGTGAATTAGTCTACTTCCTCAGGACTGTGTGTTTGGTTTTCTCAGATTTGATTGACAGTGGCATGGTGACATAAAGCTGCCAACTCAAATCAGTGTATAGTTTTACAGGTTTTTGGATTCTTCTGATCAGTATTTCCTTATTGCTGAACCAATTGAAAGTACTATCTATTCTACAGTAATAAGTTTGCATGCTTACTAAGGGTAAGCCTATAAGCTATATAAGTGCAGTCCATTTACCATTTACCATGGCTGTCTGTGGTGTGATTAAGTAATCCAACATTTCAAAGTGAAGCATTGTGGTTACTTTAATCACAGAAAATGTATCAAATGTATGATTTTATAATCTGAAACAATATCCAAAGAATTATAATACATTTTTATTTCGGAAATTCGGATTTTTACTCTAACAATAGCGCCATCATCAACTATAGTTTTATCACATTTATATTTCAATTCCTGTGTGTTATCTTGGGAGTTCAGGGTCTCAATGAATTGGTCCTTCTCCTCTGCTGCTTCTCAAGTTAAAGCATTAGTTGTACTCTTCTTAGATGATCGAAAAAATATATACATAGTCCATGTTGGTGCTAAACTAAGCCTCCTGAATACAGCTTCATATTAAGCATGAAAGTGGTATCAATCTTCTCCTGTAACTCTCTGGCAAAAAAGTAAACAAGCGTAGGTTATACTATTCCTTTACATTAGTCTTACCGAACTAGCAACATTTAAAAAAAATTTAAAAAGCAGTCTTGGCCACTAAGGATTAACCAATGGGGTCCTATCAACTTATTAACCATCCCCAGTATCATTATTGGAATTGTGTGTCTACTCTAGTCACATGTGTGTTCTCTCCACTCTGCCCACCTGTGAGGAGGCTGAAGGAGCAGCGCGTCCACTGGTCCAGGTCCATGTTGTAGGACTCGATGTGGCGCACCAGGATGCGGTCGTTGTTGTAGTCCAGGTCGTTCCCCCCAAGCACGTAGAGCTGCCGCCTCACCGCCGCCATCACGTGGTAGACCCGCCTCTGAAACATGGGACTGCGTGCCAACCACTGGTCCTGTAGAGGTGGAGAAGGGATTAAAGGGAAAACAGAAGGAGGGGAAAGACAGAAGGAAGAACATGATGAAGATGAGAAGCAGGTTAGGTGTAGCACGAAGAGGGAGGGAGAAACAGAGAGGGCGGGATGGGAAAGAGGATGAATAAGAAGATTAATATTTAAGCATATCCATGCATGGGTAATTGATGTATGCTCAGTGCTAGATAAATAACATGACACTGGAGCTCTGGCTTGTACTAATGACTTCCCTCCCTATTTCTAATCATATGTTTCAGCCACTCCATTTTACACCAAGGATCCCCGCTCATTCCACTAAGTGTGTTCGAAGCTCATTTTGTGTCAGTGTGTGTGTGTGTTTGATTGAGGCAGAGAATGAGAGTGTGTGTGTGTGTGTCTGCTGGGAGCTGACGGGTGGCCATCTGTTGAGGGTAGAGTGGGTGGGGGGTTGCTGTTGCTCTGGCAGGTGAATGTAGATTCATGGTGAATACAAATGAGACTCCCTTCTCTCTTTCTCTCGCTTCTTCGTTCCCTGGCTTCCGAGCCAACATGTACAAACAGAGGCCCATATGGATGGGCACCTTACACATACTGTATACGCCCTCCATACCTCCACACTATATACAGCCTCACCGAGACCCAGCCCTCTTTAGTAGCTGGCTCGTAAACATACACAAACACAGGCTGAAGCGTAATGGCGCATTTCCACTGCAGGGCCTCGTATGGTATGGTTAGGCCTTGTTAGGCCAGGCAAAACTTTATGCCGCGTTTCCATTACAGTACAGGAACTGGGATAGTAACTATAGTAACGCAGTGTAGGCGGAGCCGTGACGTCATCTTCAATGCGAAACACAAAACCAACATCAGCCGTTAGCCCTCAGAGCTCACAGCTCCTCATATCTGTTCAGAAACTAGACAAAAGTTAAACAAGTACAAACCACAGACTGCCTGTGTCATGGCGAATACAGGCTGTTGTTGTGAGTGTGGACGGTCGGAGCATATACTGCGTTAGCTTAGCCGATCTCCATTCAGAAAACACGCATTTTAAAAGGTTTTTCGCCTGCCGTCTGTCTGCAGACTTGTCACAGCATTAATTCATGGTTTTTACTAACCGGTATCAGTATGTTGTTACTTCGGCATCATTTTGAAACGTGTATTACAATTAAATCACGGTCAAATATATTCATTTTGTTGTAGTTGCCAGTGATTCTCTCACTAGTTTAGCATACTCAGCCCGGTTGTTGTCCCGGAAAGAACCTCGATTTTGGAGAGCCAGAAAAACTGTGAAAAAGTACCCGCTAGCCGGAACTACGCCAAGTGGAACCGCAACCAAAAACGGGCCGGGCACGGTAATTAAAAGGGTAGTGACATTGTTGAGGCAATATTTGGAAGTTAGTACATGAAAGAGGCCCAATTATGCTTTTTGTGGTTTTCCCTTTCCTGTAGTTATATAGGTTTGTGTGCATGTAAATGGTCTGCAAAGGCTAAAATCCCAAAGCCCCCTTGGGAAGGACTTGCTCTCCCACACACTCCCCCCCCCCCTGCCTAAAAAACCCTCGATTGGACTCCTTTGTTTACTTCTATTGTGACAACACTCGCACTTCTATTGGCGAGTGCTCGCACACATTGTACATAATAGGCTAAGGGGAGGGACATCTCTAAGCAGTTGACCAATCACAACAAAGCTGGCCAGCTAACCAATCAGAGCAGACTGGGCTCTGGTTTCAGACAGAGGGTGAAAAGAGGTGCTGCAGCACAGGCAGTATGAGAAAAAGAAAGAGCTTGTCACAGTAGAGGCACTTAATACTAATATGTAACCTGGCAAATTGACATAATAGGACCCCTTTAAAGTAAACAAAATGTTTTTGTCCCATGGATAATTTACTAAAAAACACTTTTATGTTGATTTCATGCTAAAGAAAGTCAAATCTTGTATGTAGTTTTACTATTTTCCACGATGCTATTGGTTTAAATTAATTTACATATGCTGTGAAAATCAATTAGCAGACTCTTTGACACCTGCCGGGTGTGTAATCCATCAAAGCAAATACTGTATGCATTAATTTGTTTAAATTGAAAAATGGTCATTATTGTTTCACTGATTAAGTGTTTCCTGCAAAAGTATGCACTGCATCATCTCCAAACAATGATATTACTGCGACAAACATTAATGCAGGCCAACATGTTAACTTTTAAGTATAACCAACTATTGTTCTTATAGCCTAAGTACCACATTTCTCTTAGAAGGCTTTACACTATAGGAAACTCTCTATCATTAAACACTTATTCAGGTACGGAAAACAACCTAAGTGAAGAAAAAAATGAGAACAACAGATGACAAAAGGTTAACAGCTTTATATACATAACTGAACAAAAGGTGTACTACAAAAAAGTAATAACACAAGGTAAAGTATTAAAAGGACAGTTTCCCCCAAAATGTAAAAAATATATATTTGTTATCAGTCTACACTATTGTAAAGATGCCTGCCTTCTCTCCATTATAATGGAACTAGTTTATACTGTGGTTTCTTAAAGTGTCAGCCATTTAAAAAAGTTATCAGCAATGTCTCTTTTCCAGAAATCCTAACGGTTACCAATGATAATCCACAGACCTTGATGTGAGCAGTTTCATTTAGGAACAATTTACGAGTTTGGTTTTATTTGAACTTAATTATATGCTCAATGTGTTGAAAAAAATCCCCATTCTCGTTATCTTTGCCATCATCTTGACTGTAAAGGACCCTGGGGGGACAATGGAGTCAGATTCCATTCTTTTTTGTTTGGGAGGGGAGAGATGTACACTCTACTAGTTGCACTGTTTTAGTTAGTCATGTAAGCCATGTTTCCTGCAACCTCGCATATAGCACTCACATTTCACTCTTCTAGCCCTGTTTAGCTCTGTTAAACCCTGGGTGGATCTGTTCCCCGTCTCTCACAATCAATAGAGCAGAAATTTCCAAACAATCTTTCAAAAAGTGTGAGTTGACATCACTTCACCCTTACCTGCTCTGGGTCATACACCATCAGTCGATTCTGGTACTGAGCTGTGTTTGTCACCCCACCTGTAACATAAAATAACACCTTGGCTTTAATCAGAGCACAAAAGCTGTTGGTACAAATGTGCACAAAGCAGTGTTTGAATCTAGAATACAAGAAGGTGTTTGTGTGTGTGTATTAATGTGTAGAATCAAGGTGAGTCCGTCTTCTTATAGCTGAATACCTGAGACCCAGAGCAGGCTGTCAGCCACACAGCCGGCGTGGCAGGACAGAGAGCGGTCGAAGGGTTGCACAAACATCCATTTGTTCCTCTTGGGACAGTACCGCTCCACAGAGGGCAGCACCTGCCGCAGCTCGTTCCTCCCCCCCACTGCGTACATGAACTGCCCCAGCACCCCCAGGACAAAGTGTTCTCGGCAGGCCTTCATGGAAGCAATCTCAGTCCAACAATTTCCCCTGGGGTCGTATCGACAAGCGGTCCTTACGGCACACGTCCTCCCGGTGGAGTGCTCCACCTCCCCACCCACAACAAACAGGAAGTTCCCCATCACAGCTACACAGTGGTGGCTGCGCCCCGTGGGCATGGGTGCCAGCTCGCTCCAGTTGGAGCCACCTGAGACCCGTACGTGCTCCTGCGCGGCCGGGTTGAAGTACCGCAGCTCCCTGACCCTGCTCGACTCCCGCTTCCTACCCCCGGCTATGTAGAGGGTGAGGGACTGGAAGCGAGGCCGGGTGCGGGCTGACTGGCGGAGGGGCTGGGCGAAGGTGCCGTGGTGGTAGTCCAAGGCCTCCTCCACCAGGGAGGCAGCAGTCGGGCTGGACTGGACCAGGGAGTGGCTCCGGGCCAGGTGGTGCAGCGCGGTGACGTCCATCAGGCCGTAGCGCACGTGTTGGATCAGATCCTCGGTGTACTGGTACCGGCAGTCGTGTTCCAGCCACAGAACCACCAGCTGCAGCCAGATAGAGCAGAGAAACACTGATGAGTTATATATTATTTCAACAGTCTCATAAAGTTAGCATATGTTATAATGCAAATTCAGTATTACACATGGCTCACCCTTTAAGTGACAATAATAATCCTTTTGTTACTACTGTAGGTCTTTTATTAAATAGTTGAGTGACAAGAATGTAAGAGATAGATATATACTCTATTCATCCTAAAAAAAAATACAAAATAGAATAAACTATAAATATATAAAATAAAAAATGTATATATATACAGTGGGGCAAAAAAGTATTTAGTCAGCCACCAATTGTGCAAGTTCTCCCACTTAAAAAGATGAGAGAGGCCTGTAATTTTCATCCTAGGTACACTTCAACTATGAGAGACAGAATGGGGGGAAAGAATCCAGGAAATCACATTGTAGGATTTTTAATGAATGAATTGGTAAATTCCTCGGTAAAATAAGTATTTGGTCACCTACAAACAAACAAGATTTCTGGCTCTCACAGACCTGTAACTTCTTCTTTAAGAGCCTCCTCTGTCCTCCACTCGTTAACTGTATTAATGGCACCTGTTTGAACTCGTTATCAGTATAAAAGACACCTGTCCACAACCTCAAACAGTCACACTCCAAACTCCACTATGGCCAAGACCAAAGAGCTGTCAAAGGACACCAGAAACAAAAATGTAGACCTGCACCAGGCTGGGAAGACTGAATCTGCAATAGGTAAGCAGCTTGGTGTGAAGAAATCAACTGTGGGAGCAATTATTAGAAAATGGAAGACATACAAGACCACTGATAATCTCCCTCGATCTGGGGCTCCACGCAAGATCTCACCCCGTGGGGTCAAAATGATCACAAGAACGGTGAGCAAAAATCCCAGAACCACACGGGGGGACCTAGTCAATGACCTGCAGAGAGCTGGGACCAAAGTAACAAAGGCTACCATCAGTAACACACTACGCCGCCAGGGACTCAAATCCTGCAGTGTCAGACTTGTCCTCCTGCTTAAGCCAGTACATGTCCAGGCCCGTCTGAAGTTTGCTAGAGAGCATTTAGATGATCCAGAAGAGGATTGGGAGAATGTCATATGGTCAGATGAAACCAAAATAGAACTTTTTGGTAAAAACTCAACTAGACGTGTTTGGAGGAGAAAGAATGCTGAGTTGCATCCAAAGAACACCATAGCTACTGTGAAACATGGGGGTGGAAACATCATGCTTTGGGGCTGTTTTTCTGCAAAGGGACCAGGACGACTGATCCGTGTAAAGGAAAGAATGAATGGGGCCATGTATCGTGAGATTTTGAGTGACAACCTCCTTCCATCAGCAAGGGCATTGAAGATTAAACGTGGCTGGGTCTTTCAGCATGACAATGATCCCAAACACACCGCCCGGGCAACGAAGGAGTGGCTTCGTAAGAAGCATTTCAAGGTCCTGGAGTGGCCTAGCCAGTCTCCAGATCTCAACCCCATAGAAAATCTTTGGAGGGAGTTGAAAGTCCGTGTTGCCCAGCGACAGCCCCAAAACATCACTGCTCTAGAGGAGATCTGCATGGAGGAATGGGCCAAAAATACCAACAACAGTGTGTGAAAACCTTGTGAAGACTTACAGAAAACGTTTGACCTCTGTCATTGCCAACAAAGGGTATATAACAAAGTATTGAGATGAACTTTTGTTATTGACCAAATACTTATTTTCCACCATAATTTGCAAATAAATTCTTTAAAAATCAGACAATGTGATTTTCTGGATTTTTTTTTTCTTCTCATTTTGTCTCTCATAGTTGAGGTATACCTAGGATGAAAATTGTATATATATAATTATACGTATCCACAGTAGTAAAGACATATATCAGTATCTAAAGATTACACAATAACTGAAACTGAAACATATAGAAATATGGTACTATATACATTACAAATTGTGCCAAGTAGCGTTTTAAAAAACACTTTTTAATGTGTTCTAGTTTGTTCAAATATTTGGAAACTGCAACATACATTTAAATGAACAATTGGATAAATACATTACATTTACTGTTTCAAATTGGGCGTAAAGGTGGGGTAGGTAATTTTGGAGAAACCAGCTCGAGTGCGCTAGAATTTGAAAATACACAACCGGAAAAAATCTGCCACTTCCTTACAGAGCCCCTCCTCCAACACACACGAACGCGCACATGACCAATGAGGGCATGAGATAAGTTTGTGCACAGATGGAAGGCTGACAGGCAGGTAGGCCATCCAGTTACTTTAGCCGGGCCGGCTCAGATGATTGGTCGTGCTTTTTACAGTACTACGGCTTCCAGAGATGACATTTTTTTATGGATTTTTTGTCAAAGCTCTTCAGATATTCATTGCTATCGGGATGTTAAGAGCATTCCATGGAATATAACAACAAGTGTATCTCGAGCCGGTTTCAAACTTACCTACCCCACCTTTAACTGCTTAATTGGACAACATTCTTTGTGTTTTTATCCTCTTTTTGATTATATTAATTTAAACAAACTGTCTTTTTCTCATGTGGTCTGCAGAAAATACTCTCTCACTTTATAAATGTAAAATAAAATCTTTCATACATTCCATGAAAAGAGAGAAAAAAGACTAAAGGCAAAAAGGGAGCAAGAGGAAAGTAAAAGGAAGTAGGAAACAGCATGAAGTCAGTATGTTAAGAATGAGAGATTAGAGGAATGAGTGAAAAAAGGCAGAAAATAATAGGAAAGAAATGAGCGTGGGTCTGCTTATCACAATTATTTCTCTACACGCCTATAGGCTATTATTGCAAGACTGAGGCACGCCCGCACTGCATCCACACACAAGTATTTATTAATCAGCAGCATTCAATATACAGCCGGTAAATATCCACAGGCTCCTTCCTTTGTTTAATGCAGGCGAACTGGAGTGCAGAGAATTTAATTGAACTTGAGAGCGGTGGAAGGTTATTTAGTTGTGCCGAGGTGTGAATGTGGGCGAGATGACTGGAGATCACTGATATTATTACCGGGAAAACAAAGTGGTGTTTGACGTAATCTGTGCAGAGATGGAGCACTTAAAGCAGAATGAAGATGAGATATAGTGGACATTTTGTTTTCAGACAAAAGGCAAATCAGACAAAATCCAAAGTATCACACCATAAATCAAAACACAGCATTTGGTGCATGATTTATAGACTATAACCTCATTTGTGCTTTCCCTATATTCCCATTTTAATCCAACGTGTGAATATGGAACAAACATGCAAGTCAGGATTGTCTCTTTAAGGTATCTGTGCCACTCTACTGTCTCTACCTCCCTTTCTCTATTGCTCACCCCGCCTCTCTCCTCCTCATTGCTCTGAAGTGACTGTGTGTGTGTGTGTGTGTGTGTGTGTGTGTGTGTGTGTGTGTGTGTGTGCGTGCGTGCGTGCGTGCGTGCGTGCGTGCGTGCGTGCGTGCGTGCGTGCGTGCGTGCGTGCGTGTGCACTACGGCAGCTGACTGTGAAGGTCACGCTGCATCACGCAACTTCCTCGGGGCACGGAATAAATCAACTCCTTCTCCCTGCTTCCCCTCAAAGAGAAAGTGTGTGTGTGTGTGTGTGTGTGTGTGTGTGTGTGTGTGTGTGTGTGTGTGTGTGTGTGTGTGTGTGTGTGTGTGTGTGTGTGTGTGTGTGTGTGTGTGTGTGTGTGTGTATGTGTGTGTGAGTGAAAGAGAGAGTTAGACCACTAAAGACAGGGAGAGATAGAGAGAGAGAGAGATAGAGAGAGGTAAGGGGATGGGGGGAGCTACGGAAAAGCAACTAAAAAGATGGCAAGAAAAACAAAGCCGGGCAAATGTGATTTCCAGAGCGTGAGAGACTCTAAGAAAACTCTGAGTGACGATGATTGACTGCCAAGATATATCGGCCCGGTATTGGCGTGCATAGCCCCCCCCCCCCCCCCCCACAACCCTTTCGGACGACGGCCCCCGCTTGCCGTTCGCTTCCGTCTGATGCCTAAATTAACCTTCTGGGCAAAGTGAAGGAGGCCCAAAGCAGCCTAATCAGAGGCTGATTATGGCGGCGGCGGCTGGCTAAAGGGTCAGGGTAATTGTGCCATCAGAGGCCTGATTGTTTTCAATCAGACGGGCGGCCGAGTGACAGCTGGGGGATTGGGGCCCTGATGGAGCCGCGGTGGGCCTAATCAGAGGAGAGAAGGGGAGAAAGACAGAGAGAGAGAGAGAGAGATCGGAGGGGGGAGGTGGAGGGTGGAAGGGTGGAGGCTGATTGGTACAAATGAACAGTCAAAACAGTAAGTCTCCACCCCGCAACTGCCGCACACGTGCACGTTCACCATCACCATCCATCCATCACACGTGCACACAGTTCAAAAACAGTCCTTCCTATCGCTCATTAATATAAACAAACAGTATGAGGTGCAGCTGGTGCGTGTTTAATTTGTTGTTTATTAGTCTGCATGCAGATGATGTGTCATGCATTTCTATGTGTGTGTGTGCGTGTGTTATATACAGAGTAGTTAAGCGCCAAGATGCAATTAGTTCAAGCTAAGAAGATTGTCTCTCACTTTATTTCTACGATCAAACCTTTTTTATTTAAGTTTCTACAGTGCATAAGGCTTTATGTTACAACTTAAAGAAGTGCATACACAATGCAATATGCTATCATTGAGCGATGGAAACCAAGTGTAAGCATATACAATGAGTCAATAGTTTGTACTGATTATATATATATATATATTCTAACATTCTCTTGCACTATTGTATCTGTTTTATTTGTTCTATGTCCTATATATATTCATGTTGCACTGTTGGAGGAGCCTGTGACTTAAGTGTTATATTGCCATACCTACATAGCTAATGTGCACATAACAATAAAGCCTTGAATCTTGAATGTACATAGATAAAGAAAAGAAAGCAATAACAACTACTAAAGTAATCCCCCCTACATTCACTGCCATTGTCTCACTTTATTTGTCAGCATCATAACATTACACACTACTGCTTCTACTTGCAGGGAATACCAATATTCACACACACTCACACTCACTGAGACACACACTTCCAGTACCTTCCAGATCTCCTCCTCGCTCAGAGAGGTGAGCCGGTCGCTCTTCAGCACCTCCCTGAGGAGGCGGTAGGGCAGCTGCAGGGCCTCGTCCTGCCGGCTGTGGCTCAGCTCAGACAGATGCTCCACCAGGAAGCCCACCACGGCTTCCTCCAGGGTGGGGAGGTGGAACAGGTCAGCCACGCGGTACAGCTCCAGGTAGTTCACACTGCTCAGCTCCTGCAGCGGGAACACGTAAACAGACAGGTGAGTTAGCCATTAATGTTCTCTGGGTGCTTGCAAACAGCAAAAGATGACATCATCTCTAAACTAATGTAAGATTTAATTTCGTTTTTTGAATGCAAGCCATCATATCCAACGATGAGTAAGACACCTGATACATAAGTGTGCCCCATGACCCCCTATGGGTTGATTTGACTTTCCATTTAAATGATAACCATAGAGTTACCAGGTTTAGAGACATACCGACATAAAGAGAGGAAAGCAGGTAAATGCAAGAAATGGAGCCTTCACTAGTGGAATAAGACTGCCATCTTCTGGCTGCCCTCCAGCACATACACTGCTAAGAGGCACCAGCTAGTGTTCAATATGTAATGACTTAACACCTTCATGGATCAATCACTCAGGGTATTTCAAGTAGATATTTGGACTGCTGTTCAGAACAATTCAAATGTCACTACTGTTTTATTTTACTTTGTAAAAGGGTGTGTTATATTAAGAAAAATCTCTGAACCGGTTTCTTTTTACAATTAGATTAAAGGTCTTCTTTCCATTAGAATGGTGAGTATACAAATAACATCAGCAATTATCACATAGGTGATTTTGTTCAAATGCCAACTTGAAAATGAAAATGATATTCCAAATCAAATAGCATTATATGTGTCTTTTGAGTAAAGACTTAAAATATGCAATATGTTTTAGAGCTTTGTCTCTAAATGCAATTGCAATTTCATTTTACTCAGATAACACAAAATACTACAGTTTGGAATAGAATTGTTTTAGATTAACATCATCATCTAAAATAAGTCCCTTATGGGCTCCTTAATCACACATGCATACCAGTCAACATGTGTCATATGTGATCCATTTCAGATAAAGGACTTACAGTGCAGCTATACACAGTAAGTGTAGTATCCTTCAGTTACTCAATAACCAATTAACTGAATTGTGTGCATGCATCATATCGGAGGTTTAATCATCCTGACTGGCTGTTACTTTCCAATCAATTGCTTCAGTGTGTCTGGAAAATCCACATGATGGGTCTGGCCTATGCACTTTAATCATGGGCCTCCATTTATTTTCAAAAGTATTTTTTTGGTCCAGGCTCTCGTCATCTCACGCCTAGACTACTGCAACTCCCTCCTGGCTGGTCTACCTGCATGTGCCATCCGACCTCTGCAGCTCATCCAGAATGCAGCGGCTCGTCTGGTCTTCAACCTTCCTACATTTTCCCACACCACTCCGCTCCTCCGCTCCCTTCACTGGCTTCCGGTAACTGCTAGAATCCACTTCAAGACAATGGTACTTGCTTACCATGCTGCGAATGGATCTGGCCCTTCCTACATCCAGGACATGGTTAAACCGTACACCCCAGCGCGTGCACTACGCTCTGCATCAGCCAAACGACTCGCTGCACCCTCGCTGCGAGGGGGACTCAAGTTCCCATCAGCAAAAACATGTGGGTTTTCTATCCTGGCTCCAAAATGGTGGAGTGAGCTCCCCATTGACATCAGGACAGCAGATAGCTTACACATCTTCCGGCGCAGACTGAAAACTCATCTCTTTCGACTCCACTTCGAGCGATAGAACTATTAACGAAGCACTTTTATACTAATAAAGGACTGGCTTATCTATAGCCAGTTGAGTAGCACTTGAAATGTTTGGCTCTATGAAACCTGATGTACTTATATGATTCTGTTTTCTTCAAGGTTGTGTCTTCCTGGTCGAATGTACTTATTGTAAGTCGCTTTGGATAAAAGCATCAGCTAAATGCAATGTAATGTAAATGTAATGTAAAAAAGTGGTGTGGACACTTTTTTCAGATAAAGAAAAAACTCTATTGTGCGCCACCCTTTTTTTCTCCTTACTATTAGCTAGCAACACCTGTATAGACAGGATTTACAGAGTCACTGTCAGGCTACACACTATTTTCGTAGGAACCAGTATACATGTGTGGCCAGGGGACACTTATTGAGGAAGCCAATGATCTCCGTCTTTATTTAAGAGTCTTAAACACACCTGTTCTCCACAGCTTCTCCACACATTTTCTTTTTTCCTTCAATATGTAAACTATGCATTCTACTCTCTGTCATGAAAATAAAGCAAAAATACAACATTTACTTCAGGCAAGCAGGCCAAACAACATTTCCGCAAGCATGTTTTTGGGTCATTTTAGAGTCAGTAGAGTTAGATTACATTACCTTTTTTAATTGCAGTGCCTGCGCCCTGCTGCTGCACAGCGGGAGCAATGTTTTGTTTTTACATTTTCTATTAAAAGTTTACTTACATGTCCAAATTGCACATCTTGACACTAAACCAGTGCTCTTGTTAATTACATTTCTTTGTGCATGCTATTATTCAGATACATTTATAAGTTACTTTTAAAGAGTGGTGGTGGGAAAACTGGCCATTTCGAAAATGTCCCCAGCGCCTAACGCTTATGACTTTAATACACACCAAATACTGTCAGCGGACATGTGTTCTGCAAACAAGAATGTTGGCAGGTAAAGGATGGAGAACAAATAGCTTTTCTTATCAAGCTCCACATTTGTGGAATCAGCTTCCAGTTTGTGTTCGGGCGGCAGACAGCCTATCCGTTTTTAAGAGTGCGCTTAAGACCTTCCTTTTTGATAAAGCTTATAGTTAGGGCTGATTAGATTCAGCCCCTAGTTTTGCTGATATAGGCTTAGTTTGTCGGGGGACATCTTACTTCTTCCTTCTCTCTGTCTATACCTGTGTACTCTCATGTTCCGATTAACCCAGCTTCCCCAAATTTCTTTCTTTTTGGTGTCTATATACGCCGGGATCCGGAGTCATGGATGATCCTGCGGTCCTGTTTCCTGGATCGCGAGCCCTGGATCTTGAGTCGTGGCTGTGGTCCCGGATCATAGGTCCTGGATGGATATCCTCGTGGATTCATCTTCCTATTATACACACATGCATTTCCAAACATTTGGACTACCTATGTTGCAAATGTATTATCTTTTCAATTTACACACGGCATCTATTGCACGTCTGTCCGTCCTGGGAGAGGGATCCCTCCTCTGTTGCTCTCCCTGAGGTTTCTCCCATTTTTCCCTTTAAACTGTGGGTTTTCTCCGGAAGTTTTTCCTTGTACGATGTGAGGGTCTAAGGATAGAGGGTGTCGTATTGTCATACTGATATTCTGTACAAACTGTGAAGACCACTGAGACAAATGTAACATTTGTGATATTGGGCTATATAAATAAACATTGATTGATTGATTGATTGATTGATTGATTGATTGATTGATTGATTGATTGATTGATTGATTGATTGAAAACACACTTAGCTTGAGGTGTTATCTGGTCAATAGCATACAATTGCTTTTGCCCCCACCAGATGGCGCATTTGAGTTAAGTTGAATACTGTGATGTAAATATAAAGACTTGGATTTTGAATTAAATTATAAAAGTCCTTGAAGATAGTAGAAGTAATGTAAAATATATATTACGTATTGCGTGGTATTAGTAATTCTAAAACTACCACAAATTGAATTGAATGTAATAAAATGCATGACACTGTGTATGAAATACCTCAGAGTGGTAGGTACTGCCCTGCAACACCCTGTTAACCCAGTTTTTGGCTGTGTACCCAGAGGACAGTGGGCTGACTCTGTTCCAAAAGATCCGTCTGTGATAAAGCACATGCAACAGGGTGGCCTAGTTCTTAAGAGATCTGGACTCAGGCACCTTCCCTGACAAGCAGCCCCCCCCCCCCATACTAAAGTGTCCTTGAGCAGCACACTGAGTCTGTACTGACTCAAGGGCTACATACTCCAACTGACCTGAAAACTCCACATAACATCATTAGATTGCAAGAGATTGTTGAATTTCAATAATCACAGCAGCTCTTATTTTGCATAAGCACATGTTTGAATTAAGTGATGTTACGTAATCAAAAGCACATTGTACTGTATAAGGATGAACAATGTCTGAACAGCCTGACAGAGCTCCCTTTTCATCAGTCTGTAGACTTTGTAAAATGGCCATACATTGTTTTCCATAAAAAAGACTCTGCTCTCAACACCATTACCTAAACAATCCTGGTCAATGCGTGGTTTTTATTAAGATAAATATGTATTGGTTACTAGCGCAGTGGAGAAGTGGACTTCCACAATACATAGGGTGCAATATAAAAGCTTTTCCACACTCCAATCATCCAGCTGTTTCTGAAAGGAACCCACTTCTCAAAACTCCATGAAATAACAGGATTTAAATTGACCTGATTGAACCTTTTATTTTATTATGTCACCAGCTTGAACACAAGAGGACTTTGGCATGTGTGTGTGAGTGTGTGTACCTGGATGAGGTAGTGTGAGCAGAGGCTGAGCAGCTCCAGCAGCTGAAGGTGGCTGCCCGCAGACAGGACATCCTGGATCACTGCCGGCTCCAGCAGGATCTAAACAGAGGACAAAGACAAGGTTATTAGGTCTGATTCACCAATATCTTTATAAGGCTTTCTTAAAAGTGTTTCTTGTGAATGGTCATAAGAGAATGTATATCAGATTCATGTTTTTATAAAAATTAATTGCATTGCAAGTGTTATTACAGTTTTCTCGATTGCTAACACACTAAAATGATACATAAAGCACAATTATTTTAACTGACACTCAAAGAGCAAAACATTGGCTCAGATCTCCAAAACTCTAAACACGTTTTCAGCTTTTCACACAAATAGCAAATCAACATGGCACTTTCTGCAAACCACTGCATACGTTTCTCCACGTAAGACACAGGAATCTGACATAAAGTCACGTGTGAGCAGGTTTAAAACACTGATATTCAAAATGCCTCACACATGGACCAATGATCAAGAAACACGTTCCACCTGACCAAACACCTGTTAGCATAAATTGTTGGCTCATCAATCAGGATATTAGCACTATAAAAAGACCACAGGTGAGAACTTTCTTACAGCAACAATGGAAGCCAACTTGGAAGCAAGAGGAAGAGGAAGAGGAAGAGGAAGAGATGGGGTGAGAGTGAGAGGAGGAGGAAGGGGTGGGTGAGAGTGAGAGGAGGAAGAATGAGAGGTAGAGCTGGAGGGAGAGGACGTGGACAAAGAAGAGTACTCTCTAATGAAATGAAATGTTATCAACCATGGTTTGACGATGAGAGAGAATGGACACAGGGTTCAACCTAATCCAAGCCGATTTACTGTCGCCTCTGTAATCCGGACACTTAGAATTGAAAACAGGTTAGTTACCAGTTTTCAGCTCTGCATAATTCGTGATATATCAGTGCTCATATCTGTTGTGTGAAACGTATTTACTTCATTACTGTAATTGAATTGTTGGCATGTTGCATACTATAACTGTACAACAATCCTGCACAATGTACTGTGGTACACTTACTTGTATGCAACACAGACACTGACCAACCACTATGTCTTTGTTGTTTATCTGAAGGACGGAGAACAAAAGAGGTGGAAGGCTAAGGATTTCCAATGAGGCAGGAAGCAGCAGTTACAAACTGGGTTTTGGCAAACAATGCCATCACACTTAGAGAGATCTGAAGCAGAGTAACTATGTGCTGAGATGCATGTTGCACAATGTTAGTTTTGATCAAATATGATTTTTTTCAACAACTCATTTGTATTTCTTTATTTACTGTAATGTAATACAACTGTTGAAATGAAGGAAACACAATAACCAACCAAACAGGTCAGCTCACAAATCTCGAGTGAGCTTTTAGGTGTGTGTAGAATTTGTTATTTTGATCTTGAGGAAATACAATTGTATTTAAATGGTACATCATGGAGCATATTTTCTTTATGTTTATAGGTGCTATAGGTAATATCAACCTTCAATGCTTACTTGCAGTCCGCTTCATTTATATAATTAACTAAACACTCGACACGCCAGTGTTTCTCACACTTTTTGTATTTAACAACTTTCTGGCATGATAGCTGAGGGTAGTTGTTTTCCTTATGTTTTCCTCTCAATCATTTATAGAGTCTGTTGAGATGTCTCGTCTACTAAAATAACTTAAATATGTCAAAAATCTATTGCGTGTATTGTCGTGACATTTGTAACATATCCATGTTCCCCAGAGGATAAAGTCCTCTGATTTTGGTGATCTTTTGACTTTTCCTCTACTGCCACAAGTTGATGTTGTGTGTTTTTCATTGAAGTATCAGCATCTATTGGATGTAATACGTTTATTTATCCCCCTGACGTCTCATCGAGCACAACAATCTTACTATGGGGCGCATGGTAAACGTTCTACTAGTTTAAGGCACCGATTCACAGATTAAAATAGCAGCTAGCATGTTATAGGCTTTCAGTCTTGTGTATTTATCCACAGTATGCAGTATCCATTGTTAGCAGGTCATTTTCCTGTTTGGCCTCATGCTGTCTCTTTTTAGTGTGACTGTGGTTTGAGTTGAAATAATTTTCAGCTGTGAAGTGAATTATTCATTATAAGTAAAAAACAGTAAACATTATCACAGTTTGATGCTTTTCTTTGTCATATATGGAAGCCATATGAGTATACTGTATTTAAGCATTGTTTGAGGTATTTGTGTTTTGGGAAATTATAATTGACATTTTTTGCTAAATTATTGTGCTGTTTTGGACTTTCCATTTCCTGTAGTATGTTATATAGATTTGTGTGCATGTAAATGGTCTGCAAAGGCTAAAATACAAAAGTTCCCTCCAGAGGGAGATTCTCTCTCACACACTCCCCCTGCCTGAAACGCCTCCATTGGACTCCTTTGTCTACTTCTGTAACATAGTGACATCACTCCGTAACACTCGCGCATCTAAGCGTCTTTGAGCACCTGTAAAAGCGCTAACAAATTAAATCTATTATTATCTATTGGCTAGTGCTGAAAAACATTGTATGTGATAGGCTATAGGCTACATCTCTAAGCGGGTGATCAAGCACAACAGAGCCGGCCAGGTAAGCAATCAGAGCAGACTGGGCTTTGGTTTCAGACAGAGGGTAAAAAGAGGTGCTACAGCACAGGCAGTTTGAGAAAAAAGCAACCTTTTGAACATTAAAGCATGTCACAGTAGAGGCACAACACAAAAATATGAAACCTGGAAATGGGCATAATAGGGCCCCTTTAATACATTAAAACAGCTTTTAGGGCATAAGTGAAAAACAAGATGGCACAAAATGTGATGGTTAATTATTAACAGTATTTCCCAAAAAAGGGATGTAAGGTGTTGGGAAAACGCTGATGCATTAAAGCAGCAAGTAATATCCATGTGCTGTGTGACCTGAGGTAATCTCACCAGGCTAAACTAATGGTGGAAGAAAAGCAGGGGCGGATCTACGGGGGGCAAGGGGGGGCAGCTGCCTCCCCACTGTAGAGCCTTGCCCCCCCAGCTGCCCCCCCTAACTTTTGTTTCCCTAAACTGTACTAAAACAAACCTACACTATTTCCACAAGCTTCTCAAGCAACAAAACAAGCATTACATTAGTTAAAAGTGAATCATTTTAAATATAATTTTAGGCCCGTTAAAAACGCAGCTACGGCCCTGCATTAAACTGCGGAGCGGCGTTCACACAGACCGCGGCTCACACCGCTGCAGAGAGGGAGCGAGCTTCCCCTGGGAGCATTTCCCCTTCCACTAGTTTTGTTTTTACTAAGGACGAGAGCTTGAAACTAAATATTAATAAAACGCTGCCGTTTGAATCGATAGCGTTTAACAGACGGCGCTGTTTGGGGCGTTACGTTACAAAATACTACGCAGACAGCGTTAGCTGGGAGATCGATCACTTTGCTAAACTACGCGGTAGCCTACTGTTAAATCCACGTAAACTACATCACAGCAATGAGGCCAGATCAATGAAACCAGGATACATCCTTTACTGTAAAAACTGGATCCAAACACAGCTGCCTGTGTGCGCTTGATAAATACTTTCTGATGTTATATGATATGCTACATATTAGCTAGGCTACATGGCCCTAACGCGTAAAGTTATACAAGCATTTGTACCAGTGCTTTTCACAAGTAGACTCTTGCAGGCCAGAGTATAGGAGTGATTCAACAACAACACAAAGACATATGAGAAGTGATCAGGACGAACAGAAAGAGGAAAAGGAAAAGAGAGTTCACTGAAGAGACCAGGAGGGTCAGAGCAGGAGGAAGAGGAGGAGATGAAGAGACCAGGAGGGTCAGAGCAGGAGGAGGAGATGAAGACATTAGTGAAGAAGAAGAAATGTATGTGAGGAATAAAGATGAAGTGTCAGAAAGAGGGCCAGAGGCAGGGATCAGGAGGCAGATGAAACTCCAGCTGGACCACATGGTATGTTCTTATTCTCCTTGCATATTCCATCACAGCAGCTTAATCTAGCTGCTCTTAGTATTGACAAATATTGATTGAAATGTGTTGCTGCACAGGTCACCTTCAGCTCTCTGAAGAGATGGGTGATGTCATTTGTGTACTTAATTATAAGTTGAAATGTTGAGTTTGTCAATCTTAATCTGAAAATACAAAAACTGAAATATAGGTAAGAGAAGAAACTGACACTTTTGTGATGTAATTCCCTCAATGCAGATCACCCATGGACTGATCCATTATTTTAATAGGAGGGTAAATGGTATGGCGTGACGGGGTTGAAACAAACTGAGGGACAATATTGCAATTGCATAGATAATTCAAGTATTTTTTCATAATTTATTTTTGATCAGTTAAAGTTGACAAGCATATGATTATATTAGCAGCAACATTTTGGGATAATTGGCCATTTTGATTGGTTTGATATTAAATTAATATGTAATAATGCTTAGTGAGCACATGCAAATATGTCTGTCTAATACTAAGAAAACCAATTTTTTAAAAACAAAATATATATTTAGTTTGACATTGTAATGCAAAAAAACCTGTTCCATTAATTCATTGCTTTAAAATACATTTTGTAGTTTCCTTTCATTTAAAATGGTTGAAGTAAGCTTGGGGGACTCAAAGGGCACCCGATTGTTTGTCTGAACACCTTGTTTCTCTTGTGCATTAAGAACACTTGTGTTAGGGCATGAATTAACAATAAATAGGTTATATACAGTATAACATACCACATATTGTCCGCCCTCCCATGCCACCCTGGCATGACCTCTTGGCCCCCCCTTTGCCCCCCCATGTAAAATGTTCTAGAACCGCCACTGAAGAAAAGTAAGTGTGACAGATTTCACAGCATAACAAGAAATGCTCCTCCAATGTGCTTGCTTCACCATTATCATCCTCCTAGCAAAGCAACATATTCTGGCAATTATTATGCCACTGATTTTGCCAAAATGCTTCCTGTAGAGCTGAACGAACAGCAGCTGAAATTATCTGCTGAAAGCCTCCTTCTGTTTCCTCCATATTATCCGCCCATATGCAACATGAAGCTCTGTTATACTGTACAGCCAAATGGTGCTGGGCTCTCGGCAGCAGAGCCAAGTATTA